CCAAATGCCAGGCCAGTGGACACCTCAGTTTGCTGGCCTGTAAGATGGGGATTGCAGTGCAGGTTTGCTGTGCTCTGTTTGTCAGCTGATGAGAGAGAACACCCAGATCAAGTTGCATGAAGTGGATCTATTTGGTACAGGTAGGCAGCAGGGGACAGCAGGCGCCTAGGATTCATCCTGAACCAGTCCGCAAGGCTCAGGAAAGCTGCCTGAGAAGGATGGAGTCTCACCTGTGTGCCCCACCTGTGGTGCAGCTGAGGGGCCCTGCAAGGCAGGCACCCTGAGGCAACAGGACTCAGGGGTGTCTAGGGACAGGAGCAGAGCCCACCTGTCCCCAGCTGCCCCTCTCTGTCTCAGATGTACTGTTAGCACACCTCACTGTGGTTTTTTTGTTTGTTTTTGAGGCAGGGTCTCACCACATCGCTCAGACTGGCCTGGAACTTGCCCTCTGTCTCAGACTCCCTAGTTCTGCAATCACAGGCGTGCCCCAGCATGGTGATTCTTGGGAGCCATGAGTGAGAGGGACTGTCCTGCAGAGGTACTAGTTCAGGCGTGGCCTGCATCCATGCTTAGGAGACCAAGCAATCAGTGTGTCAGGCACATGAAGCACTGCTGGGCAGAGTTGATGCCGTGGGAATAAATGTGGAGGAAGTAAGAGGAGATGGATAAACAAGGACCTTGTTAAAAGCAGGGCTTCGTGACTTAGTAAGTAGGAAGAGGGCACTGTCAGCTCAATAAGCAGAACGTGGCGAGTTGGAAGAGCACAGTTCCCAGTCTGCCACGTGTAGTGCAGAGGCAGTATGGGGCTGTGACACCACCCTAGGGGACTGGGCTCCCTCATGATCCCGCTTGACGCACTCCTTTTCCTTTGCTTCCATCACTGCAGGGTGGAGGGCACTGAGAACCTGGTCTGTGCCTGGCATGGGATTGTGGAAGAACCTGGGATTCGGTAATCCGTACAGGAGGATAAGTCTGTTGGGCCAAGTGACCCAGGAAGTTTGGTCACCCTTTGGGTCTCACAAGTGCTAACAACTGAGGCCTGGCCAGTAGGGTAGTGGGGTGGCAGTCTACCCCATACTGACCTGAGACCATAGCACCTGCAAGAGCTCCAGCACAGTCCAGGGTCTCAGCTGGTACTTGCTACTCAGTGTCCTCTAAAGTGATGGCCGCCTCAGGAGGGAGGCAGTGGGGTGGGGTGGGGGACACAAGACTAAAGTTAAGGGCCTCCTGGGCGTGAGTAGCCATCTGGACTTAGAGATTTGTTCCTTAAGTAGAGGAAGGACCATTCACTCATTTGCTTATTCACCCACCCATCCTTTAACTCTTTCATCCGTCCATTCATTCATTCACTCATTCATTCTGGAACAGGGCTGGGTCAGATGCTAGCTGCAGGACTGGACTGGAAATCGAGGTATGGGGATCCCAGCCAGGGGTGGCTGGCTTAAATCCAGAGCATCCAGGGGGCATTAGAGTTCATGGGCTGTGGGGGGAGCAGGAAAGGGATTAACCATGTCCCTAGGGTGCTTCACCTGGAGGAACAGGCGCAGCCCTAGGGAAATGGTAGGGAATGGTGGCCCTCACCACCCACAGTGGGTCCCAGTGGGATGGTGTTGCTGGGGAGGGAGTGGCCCAGCTGCAGAAGACGTCAAGGCCAAACAGAAGCGCATCTTAACACCAAGCAGGGCCTGAGCATTGCAGGCGGACAGGCCCAGCAGGCAAGGAGGAGACAGTGAACAACAGCCTCTACCTTCAATAGGACCAACAAGCCTGTGGCTGGTGGCTCTCGCCTCTAATCCTAGCTCCTCAGAAGGCAGAGATCAGGAGGACTGAGGTTTGAAGCCAGCCTGGGCAAATCATTCGCAAGACCCCATCTTAAAAAAAAATACCCAACGCAACAGGGCTGGTTCAGGTGGTACAGTGACTGCTTAGCAAGCTTGAGGCCCTGAACCACCAAAAAGAAAAGGACCAAGGAGCAGAAGGACAGAATGGGAAGTGAGTCTGTTAGCAAATGCTCAGAGTCTGGTGCTGGTGGAGTTCATACTTTAAATGGTAGAGCGAGTGTGTATTTGCAGCTCTCTTTGTCCCCATACCTCCACCTATGGCCACCTGGAATAGGTTGGCTTGGCCAGCAATGCAGAGTGGCACTTCTCAGAGAGAAGACGGCCAGGCCTGAACAAATCAACCCTCCCACCCTTACTTCCGCCTGGGCAGCCATGTGCCTGGGCTGCTGGGGGAGGTGAGCGGGGATGGGGATGGGCTTTTCTCCACATCCATCAGTCAGACCAGCATGTTACTCTGTAGCTTGCATGTCCCTCCAACCCATGTGTCATGGACTCAGAGGCCAGGAGAAAGACAGTGGCTATGGCCCATGTTCACCTGCCCACTCATGGCCCCACAACTGCCTGAGGCCCCTGCACCTGTTTTCTCCGTAGCCTTCCGTGCTGTGTGGCATCCTCCATGGGATGCTGGGACGGAAAAGAGAATGGCGAAGCAGCCATGCAAGCCCAGTGAAGCCTGGGCTTAGCCACAGCCAGACCTGGCGTCTTAACTGAACATGGTGGGCGCCGGGTTCCCGCTGGGGTCATAGGGATTATGTGGGAGTTCCCCCTCCTCATCCACAACTCTGGAAACCAGGAGCTTGTCAGATTAACCGGTGTTTGCAAGCGGGGCTAATCCACTGCCTCCTGACGAGGGACCACTGAGGACTGACCGAGCGAGCCGTGTTCCACCTCGAGTGCCGACGCTGAGTGTAGGTTGTCTGTTCTGAGGCCCTGGCCGGGCACTGGGGTTGTCTAATCTGGTGGGAGGCTGGAGGATCCTTTGCAAGTTTAGTTTGGAAGTCAGGGCTTGGGCCATGCTGAACCGAGGCAGTGAAGAGGCCCTCTGTGTCTGAGGGAGGCACGGCCTCCAGCCATGTGAAGGACGGCTGCCCCATTTTGTGTATGGGTTGGCGAGCAAATGTGTTTTAGACTGACTCATCTGCAGATGCAGCCCTACTCGGGCGTACCTGAGACCACCTAGCGCCTCCAAGCCCAGAGTGCCCCCAGCTCCTGTCAATGTCAGAGAATAAGGGCAGGTATGGCCAGCACCAAGGGTGTTTTTGTTTTTGAATTCAAGCTGCAAATGAGGCCTGGGAACACATGGGAGGTGCTCCCCCAGTCCCTGCCCTCCGGGGCTCCAGTCAAGCCCCCAGGCCCTGTGTGGCAGTACGAGTGGAGGCTGCAGCCCTGGACTCGGGCAGCTTACGCGCGTGCTTGGACAAACTGGTGGTGTCCATCCTGCTCTATGACCGTGTCCCGTCTAGACTTGAAGCAACTCTTTCTCTGAGGGCCACTCCTCCTCCACGCCCGCTGGCTCAGCGCCGTCTCACCTTTTTGCTTTTCTTTTTGAGATAGGGTCTCACTGTGCTCCCTGGTCTGGCCTAGAACTCGCAGTCATCCTGCCTTAGCCTCCTGAGTGTTAGGATTACGGGCGTGCACCATCTCGCCCAGCTCCTAGCTGACTAATTTGTTGAAAAGCTACACTCTATGAAGAGATGAGCGCCAACTACCATGTGTGCACGTGAGAATCCTGACTTGAACCTTTGCGGTCATCTGGATGTGCTGAAGGTGGGTTGAAGTCAAAGATGAGGCTGGCCTACTTTGAAAGCCAGGCACGTCCCACCAGCATGTGGGTGGGTGGGGTGGGTGGGTGGGTGGGTGGGCTGATGTCATGCTTCCTTGGTGACTTTGGGTCTTGCTTCTGTTGTCAGCCTCTGTCTTGTCGTTGGCAAGCTGAGCCCATCCACAGTCAGGGTGGCGGTTGGTACAGTCAGATCAGTGTCTGCCATGCTCATGTCTTTTGTTCTTTGTCTCTGTCCCCGCCTCTTGTCCTGCCTCTCTGGGTTTAAGTGGGCATTTTATATGATTCTGTATCCTTTCAGCATGCCAACTATACTTTTTTTTTTTTGTGGTACTGTGGATTGAACACCTGCTGGGCAAGAACTCTACGAGTTGAGCCCCACCCCAGCCACTACACTTCTTTAAGTGTATTTTTTAGTGGTTGTCCTGGAATTTGCAGTATATTTTTGCAACTAATCCAAGTCCATTTGCAAGTAGGACTTTGTGTTGTCCCGGTCCTGTCACCTGCCCCCCACTGCTGTCATTGTTTCGTCTGTCTGGAAGCTACAGCACCCAAGACACTGTTGGTTTTCTGTTAATTAGGAATATGACTAAATTCTTCTAGCTCATCCTGGGCAGGCGCAGCTTTTGATGCCAGTCTAGGTCCCTGTCCACTTAGCTGGAGCAAGTGTCTCATGAGAGCTTTGTGGACCAGCCAGGTGGGAGGGCTGGGAGGACTGAGGTGGACAAGGATGGCTGGGCCCTGGGCCCATGGTATCAGGACTGTACAAGCCAGGAGTGTTGGTAAATGGACCCAGGATGACCAGAGAGGCTCAAGCGTCCCCCACACCTGGAGATGAAGGACTGTGATCACAGTGGAGCACGGAAGGGTCTGGTGTGCAGGCAGCTTTTAAAACTGGGCTGGTGACCAACATCTCATGCCACGCAGACTCTCCCGGCCCCCAGTGTTGGCTGCAACCACAGCCAACCTCACTGCCAGAGACTGGGAACGAGAACGTGCCTCAGCAAAAGGCCAAGGCCTTGTGCTACGGGTCCATGGGAGAGGGCCGACCATGACCCCAACGTGAGTCAGGCAACTTCCCCAAGATGCCCTCCCAGAGGCTTCCCATGTGGGGCTCCTGGGGCTCTAGTGCACCCAGATGGAGCCTGAAGTGGCTCTGCCATGCTGTGGGCCCAGCAGCAGGCGGGTGGCTGAGGGTACCGAGTACATACTGCCTGGCAAGGTCAACTCTGCCTTCCTGCTGTGCACAGGCCTGGCCACCCAATATGTGTCAACCACTGCCACTCCAACCCAGCCTCCAGAGCTTTCCCCGCCTGCCCGCTCTGTCCCAGCAACACCTCACTAGGACAGATCCCCAGCAGGACCTATGGCCAGGGAATGGGAGGCTGGGCTCTGGCTGTGTCACACCTGTCAGGAAACTGCCTTGTCTCTGAGACACCTGCCCACCAGGGGTTCTGTCTACCCTGATGGGGAGGGAGGCTGTGTGGAGCCCTTTAGCCCAAAACGGACATGAGTGAGGCACACACACAGACCCACCCAGGGTACCTGCTCCCCAGTGGCAGGGGTCCCCAACAGCTACTGGTCTCAGTGGCGTTGTGCCCACACCACCAGTGTAGGGTCTCTGCCCACCAGGGGCATCCTGGGTTACAGACAAGGCTGACAGGCAGCCTTCCGGACATCCCCCAAGTTTCCCTGCTGCCAGGACCTGGCCACCCACAGCCACACAGGATTTAGTTCCTTTGATTTGGTGGGGCTGTGCTGGCCAGGCTGGAGGATGGCGACCACAACGGGCAGTTCTAACCCTTGAAACGGGTGAGCCGCAGGTGGCTAGACCCACCAGCCCCAAAGCCTCAGGCAGGCTGCCTCCTACCACGCGTGCCTACAGAATGCATCCGTTTAATAGAAGGTTCCGGCTTTGACAGTACAAACCACAAACAGAAATGGAGGCTGCCTGCCCAGAGTCTCTGCCCCAGAGAAGAAAGAGCCTCTGGGGATCCTGAGGACAGCTGCCAGCAGCCCAGGGCTAATTGTGCTTCTCAGATCAGGTGTTTAGAAACAAAGCTTTGCTTTGAAAGAGTGTAAAACGGTCCATGGAGACACATGGTCTGCCTGCTGCTTCATGTCCCCAGGTGCCATGGCTGGAGAGAACGTGCAAGAACAAAACAGTGTCTTCTGACTTCTACTCAATGGTTATGGGACCTCTGGGATCCACCAGCAGCCTCTCCACACACGACTCGGGAAGGGGCCTCCTGGCCAAGCTCCCAAGACCCTCCTCTGCCTTTAGCCTTCTGGAGGGGCTCAGCCCCCTCTGCTGGCCTTGCACAGTTCCAGGGGCTCAACCCACAGACCCTGGTGTGGCCGAGCCGTGCAGAAGCTGTTGTCAGAATGAAGCACTGATGGGCAGCCATGGGAACACAGCTTGCTCCCAGTAGAGGGATGTGTTGTGGGAATCCCAGGTTCCAGGTATGGCCTCTTCAGCTCCTCATGCAGTCCCAGACCCCCTCCAGCAAGGCCTGGGTATGGCCATGCCATGCAGGGTAGCCGTATCCAGGGTGGTGTCCAGTCCCTGCTCCGTCCTGTCCTGGCTGCCTGCCCTTCACCTCAGCCAGGCCCCAGTCACGAGTTGCGGTACATCTGTGTAAAGAGATGGGGATCCTACGAATTTGTAAAAAAGAGATGAAAAAATGCTTCCTGCCAACTTCAGGATCACCAGGGTGGTCTCAAATCTGTCCCCAGTGTGAGGATTTCCTTTCTGGGCTTAAGTTTTGGAGCCACTGTGAGCGGAGTGCAGCCTCCCTGCACCAGGCCAGCGTGACGGTGTCTGCTCACCCACCCTGGCATGGACTTCTTCAGGCCAGCTCAGAGTTGGGTCTCATCGCGGGTCTCGGGGTTGCAAGACGACAGCTTGTTGCTACAGCTGCTCTTCCGGCTCTCAGAGCTGCTGGCCACGTGGGCCAGAGGGTCAGAGCGGATGAGGTACCTATGGAGGACACCAGGGAGGGACCTCTGTGGACTGGCGTGTCTAGGCTGGGCCCCAGGTCTGTCCCCCCGGGCCCAGTGAGGTGCTGGGCCTGCTTGGGCAGAGAAAGGGTATACTCACACGACGTCATTGGGCTCCAGCCTGGTGTCGGGCGGGGGGTTGATGAGGACGTAGGACAGAGTGTTCTGGTGATCATTCATCTCGTCTGCAAAGGACACAGCCAGGGGCGTCACTGCAGATCCGAGGGCCTGAAGAGCCAGGGAAACTGAGACGCCTCCTTGCCCTGGCCATTTGCCTAGCCAGGCCTGGTCCTCTCTGACCGACACCTGTCCCTGCCCCCACCCTGCACTGGGCAGGGGTCAGCCATGAGGCACGGCAGAACACTGGCTCCAACCTACGCTGGGCAACTTGCTCAGCCCAGCAGCCAGCATCAGGTGACATCTCACCAGTGTGGGGACCCTGAGCGGAGGCACCAAGCCTACCTCCTATGTAAAGCCACACATACCTACACACCCTCATATACACCTACACAAGACTCAGCTCCCCTGCACACGTATCTACACACACCTGTACACCCTACACAACCTGCAAATTCCTACACACACCCCCGTACTCTTTCATGTACTGCATGTACCACAAACTACACCTGCATCACACCTGTGAACAAGCACACCTACAAATGCCTGCACATCCTATATACCTATATTTGGCATAGGCAGGTGCATAGCCAAACGTACCTTCACACACATGCACACCCACACCTGCACATGCACCTAACCCCAGCCTTCCAGGAGCTGGAAGAGCTAAGACTGTCCTATCACCTTCCCTGAAGTGCCCAGCAGGTGCCATCAACCCTGGGGACCTGGGCAGGTCATCCCACTCGCTGGCTCACTCTGTTGCTTTGAACTCATCGTTCTTAAAAGTGTCCCTTGGGTCGTGCCGCCTCCCATCCTGGGAGACAGCCCAGCATCCAGCTCCCAGGGCAGCTGTGGGATGTAACCCACAGAGGCTAGAGTGGCTCTCAGGGGCATCTAGTCATCCCACAGATGTTTGTGCTCTGCCAGCAGGGAACCTTGGCCAAATGTACAGATGGGTGGCCACCATGCTAGCAGTGGCCCTGTGTCCACTGGCTTCAGCTCACCCATTGGATGACGTCTAAAGGCACCCCCTGGACTTCAAGGACAAACAGAACACTGGTGACCTGGGACAGAGCATCCCCTGCCCTTACCTCCCATTCTCTCCTCTTCCCTGGGGACCATGCTGGCCATTGCCACCAAGAAAGGGGCTGAGTTGTCTGCGAAGCTGGGGAAGCTGCCAGCCAGGCCAGGGTGGGACATGCCTCATCTCAGAGCTGGTAGTGGCAGGGCTGCAGCAGGCACCGAACCCACAGCTCCCATGGCCTCGGCTGGAGGAAGCGTGGGCACTGTGTGCTGCGGCGGGGTGGGGGAGGGCAGTCTTGCCAGGAGACCAGCTGAGCTTGGCACATGCCCCACCTCAGGTAGGTCAGCTGCAGCCAGTGTCTTTGTCCATGTTTGTGGGACAGATGGCCTGGCCACCTGCCCCTCCATAGCATGGGGGTGCCATTCTGCACCATGAGTATAGCCGTTTCTGCTCTTTCCAAAAAAACCCCCATGGCTTGGTCCCCACAGGCCCTTTGCTGGAAGTGCCTGTCCAGGGCCAACGGGTGTGACTCACGCTGGAGGATGACTGGGAGGTGCAACCTCCCCAGACCAAGATCCCTTGGGCAGCTCTGGGGTGGGCCATGCAGAGACAGACAGCAGGGGCTGCATAGGAGCTGGGGATGCAGGTAGCACCTGAGCATTCACCAACCCTGTACCCCAAACCACAGCCACCAGCAGAGTGCCATGTACCCAGTCAGGACACTGGGCCCACCATGTGTCACCCCCCCACCTGTCATGGGGTAGACCAGCCCTGCCAAAAGCCCAGCAGCTGTGCCATGGAGGATGAACTTTTAGGTTTACTCTCATGGGTCTGGGCTCTTGGGCTGCACTTTTCCCACAGTGGGGGGTCACACCAAAGCATTTCTGAGACTAGCAAAGGTCATGGCAGGACCAGGTCACACCTGGCTTTGTGCTCCTTGGAGTGCTGGGTTGAGGTAGGGGAATGCCAGGCCCTAGCTATGGTGCCTGAGGTGGGGTTGTGGTCAGTCACATAGCAGTGACTCTTAATTGCCCCTAGCCGGGCAGAGAAGACCTACTGTCCTGGGGTAGGGTCCAGTGTCCATGTGCTTGGTGAAGGCGGGCAGCAGGTGCAGGTGCAGGCTGGGAAGGGCTGGTTTTGGCTCTCCCAAAAATAGCATGGCCCCTGGGATCTCTGGAGCCCTACATCCTGACCCTCTGCCTGGCCGTCAGCCACAGCCTCTGTGGGGCTTCTGCCTCTACCCTCCTGCTTTCGCCCATGGCCAGGACCCTTCCTGCTTCCTCCAGGGTGCTTCCATCTCCCTCAACCTGGGACCCCCAGATTTTGACCCTGGGTGTCCACACTTACTCTTTCCAGTCTGAGCCACCCCATACCCAAGCCTCAGTTTCCTGATCTATGAGCTGGGGATAACTTTGACAAGTCTCGGAGGGAGGCCATGAGAAAGGCATAAGGCAAGGGTGTGTGCTATGACTCCCACCTCACCTATGTGACGACTGCCTGGGGACAATTCCCACTCTGGGGGGCCACCCTGTGCGCTAGGCTAATGGTCGCCTTCCCTCTAGCAGAATGGGACGCCCCGGCCTGTCCTCCTGGGCCTGCACATGGGCAGCGCTGTGAGTCTCCCTCCCAGAGCCCTGTGTCATTTCCCTGACCAACACAGGTGGCACTCAGCCAACACTCACAAATCAAATTGTATGACCCTATGGGCGAGCCTGCGCTGCCCAAGCCTGTGTTTGTCCACCCCGCCTGGGAGCCGTGGCAGGAAGCAGGGGTAGCAGGGTGCAAATGCAGCCATTTCTTGGAAGCCGCCAATTCTGTATCAGGGCTGGTCTTCCCTGAATGGATGAGGAAAAGTGCAAGAACCCGGGAGATGCCAACGCTTCGCCTCTGTGGCCGTCCACTGCCATCCTTGCAAATAAGTCACCTGAGTCAACGCTTACCTAGGCCCGGGGGCTCCCAGTTGCCTGCAAGGAAGGGCAGCACTGGGGTGCAGGCTCTGTGCTCCCCAAGGCTGCCAGGAGCCCCAGGAGAAGAAGGGGTTGGCACTGGGAGCCCCTGACCTGGACTCTGCCCTGAATTCTGCCTGAGGTCTCGGGTAGGGTGGGGCAAGGGGCTGGGGTGGCAGCAGCACTGAGCACCTAGATGAAAGCTGAATGGAAGGACCCCTCCTGAATCCCCCACAGGGGATGTCAACTGCCCACCTGGCTTGGGCAACCCACAGCCTGTCAGCTCCTGTAACACCCAAATCTCCACATTCTTGTATGGCAGGTTCCAGGCCAGGCTTCACCCAAGGCCCATCGGACCTCAGGCTGGGGCCCTGGCTTGGGTGGACTTGGAGGCTTGGGACATCTCATAGGGTTGGCCAGAGAGGCCAGCTGTGGTGGGGATGGTCTTCCTGCCCAGTCAGAGCAAAGATAGCAGAGCTTAACCTACACAACAGAGCAGGGTGAAGAACCTGGAGTCAGCCTGAGGGCCGGGTGGGCAGTCTCCTGGGGCCCAACAGACCTCAACCAACACAAACCATGGCCTCGGCAGACTGCAGAGAGCGTAAAGTCCAGTAGGGAGCAGTCTGTGAGCACATGAGCCCTGCCTAATAGGGCCTGGGACCCTCTCTCATCTCTCCTGGTCACTGCCTGGCCCAGCCTGGGCAGCGAAGGGTTGGCATGGCCCCTGTGTGGCGGCCGGTACCCGCCAGAGCAGAATTACCTTGCAAATATCCCAGGTTTACCCGATTCATGACATCACTGGCTGTTAAATTTGCTACGTCCTCTACAGAACACACAGGAGAGGCACAGACAGAAACAGAGAGAGAAAGACAGGTCAGCAAGCAGCGGTGAGGTGGGCAGTGCCAGCACAGCAGGGGACACCGTCCACATTGGGTGGATAGGTGCTGGCCATCGACCACCTCAGAAGCTAGTTGATTGCCAAAAGGAAGCCGGCCCCTTCTCTGCCAAGCTTTGGTGTATAATCGGGGTTGGGGGAGGTCATAGAGACTGAAGGAAACTCAGGGTAGGCACCAGCTCTGGGCTTAGCCAGGCCCAGCTGGCCTCTCCACCTGCCGGTACTCTCCATGGGCAGCAAACACTGGACCCCCCTCTGAGCCTTAGTGGTCAGTCACTCCTCGGACAGGATGACAGCAGTTGGGGACGCCTTCTACACCGTCCACAGGGCTGGGACTGGGAAAGGCTCTCATGGGTTGCTCTGTTCCCAAACCCTGGTCTCACCCCTGTCTACCATCTTCCAAGCAGAGTTGCTGCCGTGAGTCTGCCAGGCATGCATGGCTGGCACGGCCCAGACCAGTGTCCCCTGGACAGCTCCCTCCACTTGGAAGGGGCCCTCAGGGCCCTGCCCAGATGATCATGGACAGCAGGAAGCAGTGTGGGCCCGAGCCATGGTTGTGTCTTGAGATGCCAGAAGGTGGACAAAAAGGGGCAGTGGCCCAGGCCAGGTTTGGAACGCCCAGGCCCCCTTTGGGCTCATCAGCTGAGGCAGCAGCTCCAGAGGAAGGGGCAGTGTGTGTTTCTCTCCTGCCAGCTGGGCTACTCATGGTCAAAGTTGCATGCATGCCACCCCCAAACAAGGCACAAAGAGAAGGGGGCTACAGGAATGTGCTCATACCACACAAGGGACACCTGGGGTGACTGTGCCCTGGGAAGGACAGAGGTGGGGACCATTCACTGTCCCCATGAAGAAACCCCCACACTGGCTGCTGAGAGGCCAGGGCAGGGTAGGCTGGGCCTGGGTCTCCCTGCCATCTTCCTTTTCTCTTTGAGAACATATTCTCACTGCCCCAAAGCATCGGCAGAGCTAGCCTGTCTGTCCCTAAAGGAGACGATGGGCTTTGGGGCGCCAGCCTGGCTTTCCCCACCCCATAGGTACCTCCAGGCTGCATGCTCAGCCAGGTCCAGCCCCTTTTCAGGTAGGACAACTGAGACCCCACAGCAGTGTAGGTGAGCCAGTTCTTGGGGGGATCCTGTGCCCTCCCCACACTAGGGGATGTGTGGCCACTCTGCCCTCCAGTGAGTGGAGCCTGGTGGCCTTGCAGCTGGCCCTGCAGAATGGCCACCAGGAAGGTAATCTGATGAAGGTGCAGGAAGGTGCAGCTGCCAGCTCCTCCCGCTGGCCCAACCTGCCCGTGTCCATCCCACCCCCGCTGGCCCCTCACCGTAGCCCGTGGTGGGCAGCCCCAGGTGCTTCATGCGGTTCTTGACCAGCTCGGAGAGCTCCTGACGCTCAGAGCGTCGGTACAGGTTGAGCCGCTGCTGGCTGATCCACTCGGTGGCCGCTGGCGCCTTCCTTGTGTGCTTCGAGCCCTTGCGGCTCAGCTTCCGGGCCCACTGCAGGCTCTTGCACCGCAGTAGTGGGTGCTCAGCCGGGTCCACACTCCCCGCGTGGCGGCCGTGGACACTGCCGCTGCCCGAGCCGGCCCGCGTGCCCCAGGGCCCCTTGGTCTCTCGTGTGTCTTCGCAGTCCTCCACATTCACTGAGATCTGGGACTGGCAGGCAGGGAGGGCTGTGGACTGGGGCCTTTGTGAGGGCACCATGTGATGTGGGGAAGAGGGGGATGGTGTGGAGGGGGTGGGGGGGGAGAGGGGTTGCACCCGCCTTCTCCAGCACAGGCCCCAAGTTTCCTCCTGAGTCCCAAACTGCGTGGCCCCAGCCCTGCTCCCAATTCGTTTTTAACCTCCCCAGACCCCCATTTCTGTGAGTTTAGAGGCCTCTGGGCTCCCGCACATCCTGCGATGGTGGACACCTCTCTGTACCTCAATTTCCCCATTTGCAGACAGGGCAGCAGTACCTCAGTCACATCCTTAGGGGGGGGTTGTCAGACAGCGTGGCAGGCTGTGCATAGTTCAGTGAGCACAAGGGGTGCTGGGGAAATCTGGGGACCCCACCAAGCAGCACCTTGGAGGGGACTTGGAGGTCAGGTAGACCAAGGGGGTTACCTGCCAGAGTCAGGAGCTCCAGCATGACATGCTGATGACACATGGGGCTAGGGGAGCAGGCAAGGGACAGCTGGACCAGGGTTGGGGGGGGGCACACCTGGTATCCAACCCATAGGTGACACTCCAGCCTCAGTTTCCCCACCTCCACAGGAGAATGGTAACTATGGAGAGCCCCCTCTGAGCTGTCCTGTGGCCCACACATCCTTGGGCCCCACTCCCTCCTGTTCCCCAGGGCTCTGGGGCAGGGGTCTCAGAGGATTCTCTCCATGAAACACAAGTGCCTTGATGTGAAGCAGGAACTCCGCGAGGGCTCCGAGGGTGCTCACCTGGGCTCTGAGGTCGTGGGGCTGCAAAGGAAATCAGGGACCTGAGGGTGCATCTCTGCACCCCCTCACACAACCTCCGTCCCTCCCGGTCCTCACAGAACATGCTGAGGGCTGCTAGGCAGGTTGCCCACCGCGGGCAAGTTGCTAGCCGTGCCAGCCCACATCCTGCAGCTCTCAGATGGTCCCTTGGGTGGCAGCTGCCCTAAGTGGAGGCAGTGTATGAACCCAGAAGCAATCCCTGCTAAGGTGGAGTCGTCACAACCTGGACCCCAGAACTGGGACTGGGCCACTGGGAGTCACAGAAGTGGGGGCCACCCGCACCTCGGAGGAGAAGACGTGGCACTCCGTTCTGTAGATGCCGATGGGGATCTCGGCGCTGGAGGAGCAGAGCTTCTGGAAGAGGCGGCCATAGGTGCGGATCCACAGGTCGTTCTCGGTGATCTTCATCTGCGGTGAAGATCATTCTGCCAGGAGCCCCGAGCCAGAGGCAGCTGCGATGGTGCCCGGAGCCCCTTGCGCTGTGTGACAGGGTAGTACCAGCCCCGGCCCAGCACTTACGGCACAGAGGTAGCCAGAGCCCGGTGTGGTGTCGAGGCCCAGCAGCAGCCTGGTGATGGTGATCATATAGTCCTTCACAAAAGACTGGGGGGGGTGGAGCTGCGTGAGGCAGGGGCACCCCGTGGCACCCCACGCGCCGGCCTCCAGCTGCCACACTGTGGGGCGTGCACACCGCCACCTGTCCTGCTGCTCCCAGCCGAGTGGCCATAGACAGGCTGGGAAGCCTGCTGTGGGTTCAGCAAGCCACGTGGCCAAGCACATTAGGTGGAAAGGGGTGAAACCCAAAGGCTCCAAAGGGGAGCCCGTGGCACTTGGGGGGAGCAAGTCTTGAAGGTTCAGAGGGAGGCACTGTGTTCAGGACTGGGCCTAGATGTTGGCCACAAAACAGCCGGGGCTTCCCGCTGGACACCGCAGGGCCCCTGCCCGCCCCCGCTGCTGACCTGGTACAGCAGGGTGTCCAGCATACTGATGCTGAATACGCGGCCGGCCGCGAACGGCAGGCGGAACATGAAGGCCAGGTTGGAGCCGTTCTCTCGCTCCCGCTGCAAGAAAGGAGGGTCCTCAGGAGGCCGGGGCAGCCGTGGGGGCGCAGAGGAGGGGTGTGCGCGGTGTGTGTGCGTCTGGGCCTGTGTGTGTGCACCGGCGGCATCTCCCCAGACTCAGGACTAGAGAGCGGGAGGAACGATTTGGGCTTCTGACAAGCGGGACCTAGGGCCTGCTCCCAGGGTATGTGACACACACCACCCTGCGCTGCGGGTTGACATTCTGCTGTTGCCATCCTGCGACTCTCTCTCTCTCTCTTCCCTCTTGCTCTTTTTTTTTTTTTTTTTGGCAGTGCTGGCAAATGCTGGGCACCCTACCACTGAGCCACACCCCCAGCCTGAGACTCTGAACAAGCTCACGAACTGTGTCTTGTGAGTGATGTCATGGACACTGGCACATGGGCAGGAGAAGCTGCTGGTGCTCACTGCCCCTTCCCGTGCACTGACCACCAAGCCCTGGGGCTGGATCCCCATAATCTGCTCTATGAGCTTCCTGGGACAAGCTCCCATAGACTCAGTGGCTTAAAACGGCATGGTTCATCTCCTAGGGCTCTGGAAGTTGGAGGTCTGCAATGGGTTTCCCAGAGCTGGAACCCAGGGCTGCAGGGCCTTGCTCCCTCTGGAGCCTCTTGGGAGACCCGTTTTCCCTGCCTTTTCCATTTCACAGGGGCGCCCACATTCCTGGGCTTGTGGCCTCATCCTCCATCTTGGAAGCCAGCGGTGAGCCTCTTCCCATCTCTGGACTTCTTGCCTCCCTCTTATGAGGACCCTGAAGTGCATGGGACCACCTGCCAACTCCAGATCCTTTAGCTTATCCCAGCTGCACAGTCTCTTCTGCCATGGGAGGGCACATATGTGCAGGCCCTGGGGGCTAAGATGTGGACATCTTCCAGGCCGTGCTTCAGCTGGCTGCATGGCATTTCAGGTAAGCATGGATGTTTGTGGCTGACTCATTGACGCTGGTGCCCAAGAGGTCACACTTCCCACTGCAACTTGGATTTCCTTCAGATGCACAGTGGAGTGACAGTGCTTCTGACAGCCGTGGAGACCAAGAACAATGGTGCGGCCGTGTGAGGATCCCAGTAGCCCACTCACAGTGGCTCTCCTCCCAGGGAGCCTTCTTTAAGTGTGCTGCTGACTGTGCCAGCCACTTCCCTCCAGGAGTGACACCCAGGAAGCAGAAAGACAGGACGGTACAGCAAAGGTTCCTTTTATTCTGCTCTCTTCCATGCTCCCCAATGACCTGAAGGCGGAGAGCGTGGGCAGAAGAAATGTCTGTTGGGGAGCAAAACAAAAGCAGTGGTGCTAGGATGTGTGACACTTCACTGTCCTGCAAAGAACAAAGTGTGTCTGAGCCACAGCTGTGGATTGTGCCAGATGGTAGGCCCACATTCCTGGTGGACACCCTCCTACCTACACCCCACAAAGGTGGCCTTCAGTAATTACTATATCATTTCCTTCACTCAGAACAAAACGAGACAGGGAATAAGAACTGGGACAGGCCCAGAGAGACCAGAGGAAAAGAAGGGCTGAAACATTAGCTCCTTTCCAGAGCTGTCCCGTTTGACGGACAAGAGGCACACCTGTTCTGCACGGAGCCCTGCGAAACTCGATCTGAGGAATACGTGGGCTTCAGTGGGCATGCGTGGGTCTTCAAGTTCACCTGTGGTGGCAAAGTCAGAAAGCCATCGGCCAGGGGGCAGCAGGGTGGAGTTGGAGCAACCCAGGATGGCTGAGCCAACCCAGCGAGGGCTTGGAAGAGAGTCACACTGACAGTGCTGTCACCAGCAGGCCGCAGGAGAGCCTGGGTGCCGGAGCCAGGATCCAGGTGCAAGGGCGACACCTGCACGCCTCTCATGGTCAGACATGTCCAGAGGAGGGCCTCACGGGGAGCTCTGTAGCCACCTGCCTCAGGTGTTCTAAGTTTTAAAAAATGCTAGTGCATTTTTTTTACAACTATTATCTCTCACCAAGACATTGATCTCAGTGCAGGAAATATTTACAATTTCCATTTTTTACATTAAGTTTAAGATAAGTTCACTACGTCATATTTCAGATCATATGTAGCACAATTTACTCTCCACGTTCTTACTTCTAGGGAATCCTGTTTTCATATTGCTGCTGGGTCCGGCGTGGAAGATGCTGATCGCAGAGTTTCGGGGTAACCTCTTTGTGTTTACTTTCTTCTTTATACTTTTCAGTGTTACTCGACATGGAATACACATTGTAATAAGTGTACATTTTTAGTAAGACAAAACATCACTAATTTCTTTTAAAAGGGTCTCATGCTGCCCATGTACTCTATCTGAAGCCTCAGGGAGCCTGACATGCCCCCGGGAGCCCCACTGGGGACCCAAGGCCAAGTCTGTCCAAACTAAGAAACTGAGGACCCAGGCACGTCCTGCAGGCATGGCACTGGCCAGGGAGTGGCTATGACTTCAGATCCCACCACATCCAGGGAGGGGAGGGCATCAGTGGCCAGTCCAGCCTATCCCTCCTCAGCCTGAGTCTCCATACAGGCCGGGCCTACATAGGGTCCAGGAAATCTGTCCCATAGGGCCCCCAACTACACACCAGTGTAAGGAGCCCCAGGCTGCTTCCTGGGGGCTTCACAGCCCCTGAGGTCACACACAGTGATGTCCTGAACTCCCTGACTCATCCTTGTCACTTCCCTGAGATAGAGAGTCGGCTGACCAGGCCAAGCTGCACAGAGGGACCACTGCGGGGGCCTCACCCCAGGGCAGGAAAGGACAACTGACTGGTGACCTCTGCTGCAGAGGGCAGGGCAGTGCAAGCCAGTGGCTGTGTGTTTGCTGACTTTGCCAACTTCCAGTTTGCTTTGAAGTGTGGGGAGGCGCAGGGAGACGCAAGGCCCGTGAGGAGCTGGGCTTATCCAGGCAGGGCAGAGTCCAGGGGCCCCAGTGGACCAGATGAGGCAATTGCTGCACTGTCAGCTTGGGTGCTGTCCCCAGCTTCCTTTTACTTCTCTGATGTAGCCAGACCCCATGGGCACTCTGGATGAGTGGAGCCCACTTCCATTTTCCATCCAGGTTCAGGTGTTCAAGGCTGTGTCCATGTGCAGGAAGGAACCCCAGTGCGTGTCCCTTGCCTGATGTCAATGGTCAGAGCCAGCCCAGCTGGGCAATGGCTCATGGGTTCTCTCTGGTCAGCCGCATAGGACCAGCCTTTTTACAATCAGGACTTGGACCCTTGCTGGTGAGCTCAAGGCTCTCGCAGAACAGCCAGCATCAGCAGCCACTGACCAAGGTGGCCACAGCCTCCTCTACTGCCAGCTTGCCCACTACCTGACCTCTGCTGTCCCTCGTGTAGAGTGCACTGCTGTCACTGGCCTGAACAGGTTCACTGGGTGGGCAGTAGGGGTCAGAGTCAGCATGCACCAGGGAACAGCAGTGACTGCAGCATCCATGGCAGGATCCCCACCCGGGTGGGTCCCTGTGTCTCTGGGTTCCATGCCAATCCCAGCTGAACCCTCCATGGAGCCTGAGGAGGCTCCAGATTCGGTGTGTGTGTGGCAGGGGAAGTTGGGTCCAGCTCTGTAGCTTGCTTTAGCCACTGTGTGACCAATACAGGTTCTTCCCTTCTTCTGACCCTCTGTCCCATGCCTCTACCAGGGTTGTAGTTAGAGTGAACATTGGGTGCTGTGTCCAAGACAGAGGCAGCATCTGGCTGATCCCCACAGAGCTGTCTGCTCTGCTGACCAGCTGACCATCCAGGACAGACAGCCTCAGCATCTAGATATAGTCAGGCTACTGGCCAGTGCCCACTGTCACTCAGAGAAGAGGGTCCTGTCTCCCAAGTTCTTAGCAAATCAGAGTCCAAGTTCCCGTGTCCACCCCTCCCTGCCTTCCCGCTCACTCTGGGCTCGGTGAGGGACTGGCATGTCAGGCAGAAGCCACTCACCTTTTCCAGCTTGGAAAGAGCCAGGGAGTAGCTGTCCTTGGCACGGAACTGCATGAACCGCATGTTGGAAGGGTGGGTAAGCTCCGTGGTGATGCTGAGGCTGGGGAAGAGCCTGGTGGAAGGGCAAGGCCGGTCCTGTGGCTGCTGTGGTCAGGGTGGTCCCTCTGCTGTGAGGATGGGCCACACAGGCCAGCACTCACCGGAACATGGTCTGCACGTTGACGATGGTCTTGGCGTCGGCCATGTAGTCCTCCTCAGCACTCATGGTGCTCTCCTTGTCCACCACCACCAGGTTGTCCGCATAGATAATTCCGCACTGCAGCAGGCTGTCGAGGCTGTGCAGGAGGCAGGAGAGTGGCCGTGGGACCCCACTCTCTCCCAACCTAGCCCTCCTGGACCTCGGGCTCCCTCTCCTCTCCCCAGTGTGTGAGCTGACGGGGCCGGGGCGGGAGGGGCAGGTGCCCTGGCCATGGTCACTTAGTGTCTTACTTGTCCACGGAGCCCTCCATGTAGTACACCATGGGGAAGCAGCAGATGGCCTCCAGAAAGTGGTGGTCAGGCCTGTGGGGACAGTGGGGCCTGGAGGCAATACCTGCTCCATGGCCTGCCCTCCCCATGCCCTCGGGGTACAAAGCTGGTTAGCACAGGGGACTCCAGAACCATCAGACCTAGGACCTTTAGGGCCAAAGGTGCTGTTGTTCATTTTGCCCATGGGGAAAGTGAGGTCCAAGGAAGGACCTTATTGAGGTCAGACAGCCAAGACTGGACCCTGGGTTCTGGGGTCCCCTGGAAAAGGGGCTTGGCCTCCCACGCAGGACTCACAGTCATGGATGACTGGGAGGTAAAGAGGGACGGGAGAGACTGGAAGGAAGGAGATGGAAGAAGAGGAGCCGCCGAGGGCTGGCGGAGGAGGCAGCTGGCTGTGGGAGGAAGAGGCATGTCTTCTGGCAGGGCTGTGGGGCCGGGCAGAGGCTGTGGGTGGGGTGCACAGAGGCCAGGCGCCCTCACTTGTTGTCCAGCAGCAGCACGATTGGGTTGAGCTCCTTACGGGAGCGGTAGTAGGCCCGCAGGGGCACGATGAAGTTGTACAGCCCGTTGCCAGCCGTCTCCGCCGAGACGATAATAAGCTTGTTCTTGAACCCGTAGGCCTTGGCGTCTTCATAGCTGTTGTGTTTGCAGCCCTGGGAAGGTGCAGAGTCCATGATGGTCACAGTCCTACCCATGGGAGCAGCCAGCAGGGCCAGACAACCCCAAGAACATGTGGCCCCTGCTCAGCCCACAGCCCACACGAGCCCTGGCCAGGCACATGTTCCACCAACACCAGGGCTGCAGGAAATCATTGCCGCACAGAGCAGAGCAGGATCCAGAGCCCCTGCAGATGGCATCTTTGTGAGTACATAGTTCTAACTACAGGTACAGAAATGCAGACGGACACAGGGTGTGTGCACCAATTTCTACCTCTACCCACCTGGAAGCCTGGAAGCAGGGCCACCAGCACAGGCACCCGATCCCGTTTCCTGACACCCTATCCACTGAGAGCAGACAGGCCTCAGTGGGGAGAAGCCTAGTTCCAGGACTGGTGCTGGACACACAGGGTGAGGAAGTGCCAAATGCTGACAGGCACACCCCATAGCCCCGAGTATGTGTGTGCCACACCACCACGTGTAAGAGAGGGAAAGCATACACGGGTGCAGGGGCGCCTTCTTCACGGCAGTGTGCTAACAAGCGCCATTTGGATTTTGAAACTAGAAGAGCATCAGCTGACACCAAAAGCAGCAGGTAGAGGCTCAGGTTGAATGACTCACCCTATTCCCACCAAGTCCCCCTCAGGGACATAACTACAAAGGGGCGATTTTCACAGTGGGGCAACATGGCCGGTGATGGGGCCAGCAGGCGCCCCATGTCGCCTCCTAGTGGTCAGGCTGGATCTCCTCATCAGGACTGAGGCTTATCACCGACTGTGGCCTGAGTTATTCAAAAGTCTGAGTCAGGAGGCCGGAGGGGAGGAAGAGGCCATTCCAGACCCAGAGAGGCAGCTACAGGCTGCAGCACATAGGCTGGGTGACTCCCATTGGGAGCCACAAAGGATGGCAAAGACCACTGGGCAGAGACAGGAGGATTGTGGTTTGAGGCCAGGCCCAGCAAAAGTTACTGAGGCCCTATCTGAAAAACAAGACCCACCTGTGGTCCTATCTACTTAGGAGGCAAAGGTAGGAGGATGGAGACTTGAGGCCTACAGGGATCCTATTTGAAAAATAAACTGAAAGCAAACAGAAGGTGGGAACAGTGGCTCAGGCCTGTAATCTAGCTACTTGGGAGGCAGAGATTGGGAGGATAACAGTTTGAGGCCAGCCTGGGCAAAAAGTTTGCAAGACCCTATCTCAACCAACAGTTGGACCCCATGGCTCACGCCTGTCATCCTCAGCTACAAAGGGAAGCACAAATGGGAGGATTGAGGTCCAGGCTGGCCTGAGCATGAAGTGAGACCCTACCTCAAAATAGAGCAAAAAGGGCTGGAGGTGAGTGGCTCAAGGGGTGGAGCATCTGCCTAGCAAGCGCCAAGCCTGAGTTCAACCCGCGGTACAACCAAAAAAAAAAAAAAGAAAGAAAAGAAAAGACCATGTGGGCTGAATTAGACACCAACGCCAGGTTGGTGACGAGACAAGTCCTCACTCTCGGGAGCACACATGGATGTGGCTGGGCTGAAGAGCACAGTGCCCAGATAAAGCGTGCCCCTGAGGCGGACATCAGGAGGTGAGTGGCAGGTGTGGCAGAGGACAGGTTTGGAGAGTCGTATGAAGGCTCTGTTCTTGCAGCTCCTCCACAAGTTTGCAGTGAGCCACCAAAATGGAAGTGGGGAGGTGGTGGGCCCAGCACCAATGTCCAGAGGCTCAGAGTGGCACAGAGTGGCAGGACAGCCCAGCCTTACCTTGTCCAGCCGCAGGCAGCAGAAGGGGGCCTTCGCTGGCAGAAGGTGGCACAGGGTGGGGGAACTGCCGATGTAGGGTGAGTTTGGGGGGTAGCCCTTCACGTACCTGGGTGGAGATGGGGGCCCTCAGCTCTGCAGGGCTGGGGGATGCAAGCGTGTCCACTTCACCCCCACCCCAGGTCACCCACTGCCGCCAGCAGAGGTAGCCTGCCTTACCCTAGGCCACTTGCACCTGAGGAAATACTTCTGGAGACAGGCCTGTGGCCACCAGCAGCCTCAGGCACCCAGCCCAGGACAGCCATATGGGGGACAAGACCTCAAGGACCTGTCCCTGCCTCATGGGTCACAGGCTGCTGCAAGGCCTGGGCTGGGGGATGGTGGGCTTAGCTCCCACCCAAGTTCTAGGGCAGCTCAGAGCAAAAGTAGGGTACACAGATTCCAAATCTATTCCCTAGATTCCAAATCTAGGGAATAAATGGTGCTGGACCCACCAATGGTCAGCCCTCAGTTACTCAGGGTAAGACAAGAAAATGGAGTATACTCTGGGAGCCATGCTTTCCCTGAGGAAAATGCAACACACAGTATGCTCACAACACACATGCCTACACGGAAGTGGACACATGCACACTCACTCTTGCTCGCTCCCTAGATAAGACCTGGACACCAAGTGTTGGGCCCAAGGGCTCTGACTACCCAGACACCTGCCAAGGTGACAGGCAGATGCTTGGGCCTTGGGACCTCCCTATGCCAGGCTGGTCACCCCAGCAGGCTGCCAACTCTTCTCCTTATCCCAGTGTCACCCAGCACATACCACACTATGGCTAGGCCACTAGGCCACAGTCCTCTAGCTCTGCCACCAGGTGCCTTAAGGGACATGGCCTTGGGGGCTAATCTATGGTATCTAGGAGCTTCAGCCAGTGATCCCTCAACTGTAGAGTGGCTCCTGACAACTGCCATGTCCTAGCTTAGGCCAGGTGGCCAAGGTGCTGATCCCAAACAGGAAGACCTGCCCCCAAACTCAGGCCAACATGGCCACTTGTGGTGGACCTGTGACCTCCAGTCCTGGGCAGGGTCTTTCCAGGGACCACCTGTTGGTGACCTTTGGAGACCCTGCTCAGAAGTTGTCCTCGAAGGGCACCCAACCCAGCCAGGTGGGCTGTGCCCTGTGGTTCTGAAGAGGCTGAACCGGCCGTGATGTGGGCACAGGGATGACTGTGGGTCATGTACTGACTCCACAGTGACTTGTGGGGTGATGAGGAAGAGACCTCAGCTGGCCAAACAGTTATGGGCTACTAAGATGAACGAGGACAGGCCACAGTGCTGGTCCTGCTTCTGAGAGCCCCACATGGAATCCGTGAGCCCAACTGGCGCTGCTCAAGGGACTCCCAGGGACCAGGTCTGGGGAGGGCGGAGAAGGAGGGAGGGGAGAGGAGGGAGGGGGAAGGAGAAGGGAGGGAGAAGGGAGGAGGAAGGGGGGCACCCTATATGGGGAGAGGGGGTACTCAGTTCTGATGCCTGTGTATGGGGGGCACCCAACGCTGGTGTCTGCATGGGGAGGATGTCCAGCTGTGATATCTACATGTGTTTGGGGGGGGAACACCCAGTGTTGACATCGGTGTTGGGGGAGGGGTGTCCAGCTCTGATGTCTACATGTCTGAATGCCTGTGTACTGGGGACCCCAGAAGACCCCATTTGCCTGGCAAGGGTTTCCACAAGGCTGAGCCAGCCTCACCTTTGGGACTTTTCCCTCCCCCGCACAACTTGGCATCAGCACTCACTCCACCACAGAGAGCCCCTCGTCGTCTGAGGGCGTCACCTCGTCCTCCGACTGGTCACTCAGCAAGTCACAGGGCAGCAAGGCTGAGCTGTCCGCCAGCTCCAGGACGGGGGCAATGCTGGGGCGCCGGCTGCCAGACCCGTTCTCCGTAGGCAGCATCAACTTGTCTCCGCTGCCCCCACTGCTACTGCCACCCTGCGAGGGCCGGCACTCTGCATTCTGCAGGTCCATGGCCACTGTCCCTGGGGAAAGCGGTTGAGCTTGGCCATGACCCCTCCCACGCCCACTGTCCAGGGCCAGCAGCTCCCACAGCCGGCCTTGACATCCCCAGCTGATGTCCTATCTCTTAGCCCTGGTGTGTCAGTGCCTCGCTGAGCCTCAGTTTCCCCCTCAGGACAAGAACAGTGGCCTTCCAGGTGACAGTGATGCTGAGCAGACCCAGGAGCCTCCAGCTCTTGGGTGACACTTCCTGTGTCAGCTGCTGAGGCTCTAGTGTCCCCTGCCTGAGGAAAGACCTCTTGAGAGCTCACAGGCTCATGGGCAGGTGGTCAGTCTGCTCTGAGGACAGTGCCGGGAGAGGGTGTCCACACTGGAGACGACAGGAGCAGCTGGCTGTGTTGCACCTGCTGGTCTCTGTTGCTTCCACTACAGCCTATGGCTGCCAGGTGGGGCCGGGGGATGGCCTAGGCATGCAGCCCACGGCCTCTGTGGGCAAGAACTTGGGGTGGGGTGGGGTGGGGTGTAAAGGCTTCCTGGGAACACCAGGGGGTGATGAGCACATTCCCGATGGAGGTGAGTCTGGGCAGAGTCAGCCCCATCCCCATCCCCTGCAGCACACTTGCAGCAGCCTTGGGGAGGAGCCCTGAAGGCCAAAAAGCCTTTGCCAGCTTTGATACCATTCAGGCCCAGTGGACGTTGGGGCCTTGGCCTGGTCAAGAACCATGTACACAGGGAACCACTGGGCTAGAGGCCACCAGGAGCCTCTGGTCAGTTAGGTCACCCACCAGGACAGCCACTTGGCCTGTGCGCCCCATGGCCAGAGACTTCTAGTTATCCAGGTGACCTCAGGCAGGTGCTTGGATACACAGACTGATGCCAACAGGGCCCCACAGGTAGAGGTGCTGCCCCATGGGACAAATTAAAAAACCAAGACCCAGGGAGACTCGCCTTGCTGGAGGAAGATTTGGGTGGTGGCGGATCTCCTGCTCCCCCACCCCGGGAGGCACTGACTGGGCCACTACAGGGCTCACCCATGGAGGCAATGATGCTGTGCACAGGCAAGCGAGATGGCCCCTCGTACAGTGCCTGCCCCGCGAGGCCGCGCCTCTTCTGTTTCTCCTCCTGCTTGAAGATGAAGGCTGAGTTCTCCTCCTTGGTGATGTTGATGTAGAAGCAGGTGTCGGAGGCGGCCAGGATGTGCCGCGGCCCCGGGTTCAGCAGGACACTCTTATTCTCCTCACGCTTCAGCCCGATGAGGCACACGCCGTACCTGGCAGACGTGGCCACAGCAGGTCCACGGGCCGCTTCCCGCTCTTGCCGTTTCCCCGCCCCCGACTTCCAGCCGCCGGAGGCCCAGGCCGCCCTCCTCAGCCTTCTGGGGCTGGCGACTCCAGGATCCCACTTAGGGCCAAGTCCTCCCCTCATGGGTCAGGGACCAAGGACCCAGGTCAGCCTCCTGAGAGCCTCGGAGAGGGGTGACCACGTGGCAGGTTCTCACGTGATGCCCAACCCCAAGATGCCCTGACCTGGCTGTCCCCACAAGGTGGGCACAGTCAAGCAGCCCTGTCCCCATTGGGCCTCTGTAGTCCCCTGACCCAGGGACCTGCCCGTCCTGGTCTGGACCCAAATGAGGATGACGGACAGGTGTGTGGGAGACACAGGCTCCACCCCGCGGACAGCCCACCGCGTACTTCTTGTGGGCGTGGAAGGCTGCATAGGTGAAGCTCTTGCCCTCGTACTCCCGGAAGAACTTGCTATCGCCCATACGGATGTGGTAGACCTCGTTGCCAGAGCAACGGCCATACATACGCTGCCACTGCTCCGGTGACTCCTGTCCTTCCCTGCCAGGGGGGTGGGGGGAGGGGACCATCACCCTCGGCCAGGGCTGCCCCTCCCACCTGTCCAGTCTGCAAAATGAGCCCTGCATTTCCCCCAGCAGCCCCTCACTGTGCTGCACCTCTGTCCACTGCATGCCCTCCTCTTCCAGGAAGCCCGCCCACAGAGTAGTGAGCCCCGCCCCATACAGGCCCTGCCTTGTCTCCCAGGGATGGCCAGGGGCTTGGCGGTCGGTCCCGGCGTAGGGCACTCACTGGCCACGGGACGTGTGCACCAGAAGGGTGATGAGAGTGGAGGTGGCCGGGCAGATGCAATTCAGGGCCAACATAGCGTACTTGCATTCCTCCTCACACACCACATGGTCTGAGGAGACAGAGTCAGGGTCCAGACTAGTACCTCCTGCACCCTTCCTCTCCTGCAGCACCCACGGTTTCCTGAGCATCCTCATACACAGGCACCCCTGCCCCCTCTGCATGGCAAACTCCTGCTCAACCCATCTGGCTCAGCACCTCCAGGAGCCTCTGGGTGCCCAGTAATCTGTCTGAACCTCCGTGGAGCATCTCAAGTCTGTGCAGCTCTACTGAGAGCTCCATGGCTGGCCAGGCCAGCACATGACCTGCCAGTTGCCCATCATGGGCCCTGCTCATCCAACACACCTTGGGTACCCAGCTGAGCCCTGCCCATAGAGATGCTCATCAGACGCTGCTCCTGCTGACCTCCCTACCCCCGCCCTCACTGACCCTGGCCCCAGGTGCAGGCCTGGTCATCTGCAGTCCCCACTCACAGGGGCTCCCCATCCTCAGATGCAGCAACGTGGAGGGTCTGCGTCCCATGGGCGCCTTCTCAAGCCTGTGTGGGTGTTGGTCCAGTGCCTGCCCCTCCCAGCCTGCACAACGCACACCCCCCCAGACGCACCGGCAAACTTGACGTGAAACTTGTTCTCAGGTTTGAGGATCTGGACGTAGAGGGGACAGTTGGGGGCGAAGTCCTTCACAGCCCAGGCTCGCAGGATGGTCTGGTGGTCCTGGGGAGAGGCAGGGGAGCGTTGGAGCATCTGCCTCTGCGAGAAGGCAGGCACCTGCAGGCTGGGGCGGGGCTGTGCTCTGGACTCACTGCGGCTGTGCGGTCCACCTCATTCCTGCTGCTGAGGATAAAGCAGGCCTCCCCGTTGTCCATCCTGCAAGGCATCAGCTGCTGAGCACAGCCAGGGAGGTGGCAGTGGGGAGGCCTCCCCAGGAGGAGGCCAGGAGAGGCAGAAGCATGTGAAGGTAAGGGGAAGAGGGAAGGACAGAGCCGGGCAGAGGGCCCTGCTTAGGTGGTCAGGCCTGCCCTCAACAGGCCTCCCAGTGTCCCCCTCCACAGTGCATTCTGGGACACCTAGCTTTTCTAGGCTGTAGCCTGATGGGTGCCATGTAAGGAGCTCTGAACCACACTCTGCCAGATCTGTCCACACTCTGGCCTGGGCTACAAGTTGTCAGGGCCCAGGGTTAGAGGCCATTGAGATTCCACCTGACTGTGCACCTCAAGCTTCTGGGGCCCATCCCCTGTGCCCCTGTTGGGTTGGCCACAGAAGGGGACAAGCACTTGGGAGCAGAATGGAGACCCTGTCCTCTCTTCTGCCCACAGGTGGAGGACGAGTGACCACACCCAGCAACCCTCCCTGAGTCAACAGCCTGATGCAGAATCAGCTCAGTCCTGCTGAAAGCCTGTCCAAAACTGGCTCCTCACACCCCCGGCACCACTGACCACTTCCATGGGCCCTGGGCTCCTCCCTGCCTGGCCAGCATTTCCTCTCCTCAGCCTGCCAGCCTGGAGCTAGCTGCAAACGGGCAGGTGCATTCCCAAATGCCCTGACTCCCTTCGGCTCTGAATGACCCAGGCCACACGACGAAGGGGACAGGAAACTCCTGGATGGAAATGGGGTGGGAGGGATTTTTGCAGAGAGTCCCACAACGTCCACTGGCACATTCTGGAAAGTTCCACGGAGTGGCATGCTCTTGTCACCTCAAGTCACTCTGTCAGCTTGTCTTTAAAGCAAGATCCACCCTCAGCCCTCGTGACTCCCCACCAACTCACAGCAGCCGGCTCTTCCGCCCCTGGTCTATTTTGAGTTCCCTCAAACTTGACATAGAAAATTAGAAAATTCCTAGACTTGGAGCAGGGGAGGAAAACCTCCCGCAGGGAGGTGGAGGCCTGGCTACGGTGGACTTGCAGGCTGCCCAGCAGCGGGTGGCTGTGCTCACCTGGGCCTGGGCCCCACTGGCCCATCCCCACCAGCCCTGCCTCCACCCTGGGGACCCACCTGCCCACCTGAGCTCCCTGTGGGGCTGTACCCACCCTGGCCCGAACTTACTTAGCTCGCATGAGGTCCTGATCCTTAAGGACAGAGCCCTGGAGGTAGATGACCCGCTGAGACCACAGGGGGATCTGTAGGACCCTGCGCACCTGGACATCCATCTCGGTGGGGCACAGGATGACCACATAGTAGTCCTGCTGGCCAGGCTGTGGGTCAGAGACTCAGAGCAGTCTCCTGCCCACCCTGGCCTATCTGCTTTCCTGGTGCTTAATGCCCAAGGCCTTTTAGGACTCCCACAGGATCCCCAGTGGGCAGGCTGCCACCCCCATTGGATGAGACGGCAGCTCCTAGAGCACTCGGGGCGGGGGGGGGGGGCCTTGCCCAGGCATGTGGCAGGCCTGGAGACAGGGTGACTGCTCTGGGAGCCAGAAAGGAACCCCAGGCCTGGGAGGGGCACCAGGTGGCCTCACCTGGAGGCGGGGGTGGGCATAGAACTCATTCAGGAAGTCCATGAGGAGGTCAATCTTGAGAGAGCTGACGCACAAGACCACGTGCTTCTCCGTCTTGGCCCGATGTCGGCTGTAGTTGCCTCCCGACTTCTGCCGCTCCATCCAGAGGTAGACAAGCTCCTCGAACTGCAGGGAGAGAGAGGTGAGTGCAGGTGGCCAAGCCAGAAGCAGCTCTGGCCATGGGGTGGTGGTGACATGAGGGAGGAAAATGTCCCATGTGGAAATGGCAGGCACTGAGAACCCGGACAGCCCAGAGCAGGCCTGGCCAGTTGGCAGGGTGTGTGAGGGTGATGGCTAGGGCAGCCTGAGCAGAGGACAGAGCAGGACGAGGAGCCGGCGTGGTTGGAGCCATGTTGGAAACCACAGGAATATGAGCACAGGGCCACTGGAGGGGGCAGAGTGGACGACAGATTGGCCAGTGTGTGGGCAGCATGAAGATGCAGCTCCCTGCTGCAGAAGCCAAGTGGCTGTGAGTAAGTGCCAGAGCTGTGTTCTGGACATCCACATAATCACAAGAGCTCTCTCTCTTCCCATCAGCTCCTGAGTGATTTTGCAGTAAACTGACTGTTAGGAATTTCTCAGCTATGGGGTCAGGAATTGTTACACTGACAATCAAATGCCTAATGTAGCAGCCCCTTGCTTAGTCCTCACTGCTGGAAGGGTCAGGTTCATGCTTGTGGGGGCCCTGTGCTGTCCTCACCTGGAGCTCTATCTACACCAGGGTCTGAGGGTGAAGGCCTGGGGCCTGTTCCCACCGGGGCACTGAGTCAACACACAGGTTTCTGAATGGACAGCAGAAGGCTGACTACAGGTGACGTGTGACCTCACCGCAAGGTTGAATCCCTGAATTTACTGAGCGCCTACTCAGTCCCACTGACAAGACCTGTGGCCAGGAGGTGCCTCAGACCCCCAGGGGCAGAACAGATAAGTCCCCTAAAGAAGGGCGGCATGGGGCTTGGCTGCAGGACGCCTCTGGGCTTGTGTTCTAACTCATGTGCCACGTGGCTCTGAGCCTCAGTTTCCTCATCTGAAAAGTGTCAGGCAGTGCCTGCTTCACAGGGCTGCCGTGAGGAGCAAGCTGAGGAAAGGGTCTGATAAAATTCACAGCCTCCCAGAACCTCAGGATGTGACCTGATTTGGAAAAAGGGACTTTGTGGATATAGTTTCCTAGTGTGAGATCATCCTCCATGAGGGTGAGCCCTAAATCTAATGCCTAGAGTCCCTATAGGGAGAGGAGGAGACACAGAAGAGGCAACGGGATTGACAATGGGCAGAGGTTGGAGTGACGTAGTCGGCAGGTCACCAGGTTTGCAGGATTTTCTGGACACGGAGGCTGGTGAGGGACCCAAAGCCTCTGCTGGATCAGCCCTACCACATCTGACCTCCAGGGTCCTGGTGAGGTGATGTGTTCAGTGTCAGTCCAGACACGGATACTGATGCCCCAATACTTGGCCCAGAGCCAGGAGAAGGTGCTTTACAGACATCAGCTGCCATTACGTTCCAGAAGGACGATCGTGGGCGGGGATCAGAGTTTAGTTCAAGGGAGTAAGAATCAGCACCACCCCTTTCTCATACCTGGGATGCCTCGGTCTTTCCTGAGGCACTGGGAGCAGGCTGAGCTCAGCCTACCATCTGTCCTGGCCATTCCCCTAGCCCTGCAGGGGACAGAGTACATGCCCTCCTGATGTCCCTCATCAGAGCCCCTGCCTGCCTGTAAGTCTGGGTACCTGGACTGGCCTGGCTAGTAGGACATAGCAGGAAGGATGTCATGTAGTTCCACACAACAGTTTTGAGAGCTGTGGCTGCTGCTCCTGCTGTGAGCAGGGCATGTCCCCAAAGAGGCTGTTCAGTCACAGGAGAGAGAAGGTACACAGGCTGACCACAGCTGACTTGAAGGGCCCCACAGTGGACATGCACCCTGAGCAAGAGGTAAACCTTCCTGTGGGGGCTGCTGGGGTGGGTCTACTGTTCAGGCAAAGCTGACCTGTGTCACTAGCTCCCGCCATTCGGGCAAACTTGTGAATTTCCCTGAAGAGGGGAAACTTGGATGACAACTTGGTCTTGCTTCTCAATGAAGATCAGGAAGACAGGAGCTCTCTAATGCTTCAAGACAGAATAGGAGCAGTCCCTGGCTCAGAGGTGTGGACATAGCAGAGGGACACACAGAGCTGGTGCCCACATTCTGACTCGGAATCTAATGAAGTGGGAATGAACTGGTGTCATTTGGGTTCCTTACACACAGCTGTAGGGGTTTCTCTGGCCAGTGATCTCAGCTGGGGTGGGAAAGATGCTTTTGGGTGTAATGGCTACAGTGTGAATTCAGCCTGCAAAGGCAAGCAGGCCCTACAGAAGGGAGGGTCAGGTCTTGGGCTGCAGCCTTGGGCTCTGGGAATAATTTGGTCTCTGAGTGCCTAGAGCCTCTCTGAGTAAACAGAGGAGAAAAAGTTTGCTCATGCTTTATTTGAAGGTGACTCCCTGGAACCTAGGCATGTGACCTGATTTGGAAAGGGTCTTTGCAGACATAGTTATGGTGAAGATTGATGTGGGCCCTAACACTGACACTACAAGAAGTGTCAGGAGAGGAGAGGAGATGGGAAAAGGAGGGGAAGAGTAAGGAAAGGACACCATAGGAGAAAACTGTCACTATCCAGGGATAACACTAGCACTACATGGAGGATTGACCGACGAGCAGCACAGGCCTGCCAGACGCGTGCTCTGCATACAGAGCAAGCAGAGATTGGAAGGAGAAAGGCAGTGTTCTAAGAGCAATGGAAACAAAACATGGCCAGCAAGAAATCTAACGAGATCTGTGCGAGACAACGAGGAAGCTGGAGGCTTTGCTGGGAGATGTGAACGGCCCGAATAAACAAAGACTCAGGTCCTCACCACTTAATCAATGTGCATCAACATGATTCTGACAAAAATCCCAAGTCCTGGGGAAGGGAAGTACTTGATAAATGAATTAGATTTTTTTAAGACAGGGTCTTGCTATGTGGCCTAGGTTGACCTTGAACTTCTGATCCTCTTGCCTTAGCCTCCCAGAGGCTGGCATTACAGGCATGTACTAACATGCCTGGCTTCTAAGTTAGCAATTTTAAATGGAAGAGTGAAGAGCCAAGAAACCAGGGGACCTGAGGGACAAGGTGGGGGCCCATTTCCCAGGATCCAGTGCGGTAAGGACCAAGGACTGAGGAAAGGGGATGGGGCTAGGATCCACCACACACAAGTCCATTCTGGGTGGGCCAAAGTCCTCCAAGTGAGAAACAAGCTTTACGTTTTGTAAGGCAGTAAGAGAGAACAATCTTTCACGCAAGACAGAAGCCATAAAGAGCCAGATCAGCACACGTGACCACATTAACTCAATGCCGCCTATTGCTGGGAAGACTCCACAAGCAAAGCACTGAGGGAAAGACCAGGAGAGGGATGTGTACTGGCTTCTGGACAGGAAAATGGGAGCGAGTTGGTGAGGGAGAGAAACCACCGAAGGGAAGCAGCAGAAGAGAGGAGCAGGAGGTCCAGCAGAAGCATCTCAAAATGAAAAGGTGTGATGAAAAGGTGTGACTTCTCTGGAAAGCAGACGAACATAGACTAGAAAAACTTAGAAAGTTGCCAATGCTGCGTGCTGTCTCGGGTGGGGTGCAGGGAGGACCCGCCAGTACGGCAGCGTTGCCTTGGATACCAGGAGGGGAGGTGCCATGTGCCAAGGATCACCCAGGCCCACACCAGCTGTGGTGAGGGCCCGTGCCACCTTAGGTATCCTGACTCAAGGTAGGCCTTCAGCACAGCCTGGACAAGGGGCAGGGGGAGGCAGGCAGCATTTTCCAAGAGAAGCAGAGTGTTGCCAGCTGGGGCTGGGGACTTGGAGATGCAAGAGGGACAGGGCTGAGACTGGAGCTGAGAGCCAGCAGTGGCACCTCTGGGGGCCCCTTGTGGCCCTGACAGTGGCTGCTGTGCTCAGCTGTGGTCAGGAAACAGGACTACCATCTATCCCCACAGTCCTCTGCCTCTGCACCCTAGACACCCTCTGTCTCCCTGGAAGGAAGAACCTGTAATCCTGGGGCTCCATCAGTGCTTACTGGCAAGCACCACCTCATTATTCAACAAACTCACAGGAGACCCTCCTCGAGGGGCTACCAGAGGGCTGGGCTCACCCACTGGCCTCCCAAGAGTGGACATCAAGCATGTATACACAGCCCTCATAGCTCCCTCCTGTCCCCTTGCCTGTCACTGCTCAGGGGCTGGGGGGCTGGCTGTGAGCTAGGACTGGAGACGCACCTGCAGTGGGAGCACCACAAGGGCCACGCAGATCATGATGACCACCAGAAGTTGGGATGGCCAGATCTTGGGTGTCACGTCACCGTATCCCACCGTGGAGAAGGTGACGATGCAGAAGTAAAAGGAGGTCAGCAGGTTCAGGTTCCCTCCTGCTCGCTCCAGGTGCTGGATGCCACAGGTCCTGGGAGTACAGGGGGTGGGGCTGGTGTGGTTAGGGGCAGGACTGCTGGGGAACTGCTACTGAGGCCAGGGAGGCAGGACCTCGTTCCCTTTCCAGCAGAGCAGGGGGCCCTGCCAGCGCTCGGGACCCCATCACAAAGGGATCTGAATGACATGTCCTGGATCGTCCCCAGATGAGGGTGGGTGCTAAACCAGATGCTCTTTACCCACAGGTGAACCCCAGCTTCCTGATGATGAGTCTGAGTCCAAGTATGGGGGGCTGCCACTCAGCCAACCCCTGGTCCAAGTGGGACCTAGCCCCTGGCTTTGCTAATCTGCCCCCAAGCCCTCCCGGCCATCTCCCAGCCTGACACTGGCTGATACCCCAGGTCCCCCTGGCCTGACCTTGGGACTCAGTTTGTGTCCTTCTCCCCCTGAGCTTTCCTGGCAGCTGTAACTAGGACCCTGGAAAGCTACCAGAAGTGGGGTAGAGAGCAGGGCTTTCAGCTGTGGACTCTGGGTTGGTGAGGCCGGCGCCCCAACTTCTCAGAGCCTTGTCCCTTGCACCCAGGGGCCCTTTCCTAGGCTCCTGTCCAGTACAGATCTTGCCTCCTTTCAGAGCTCAAGACTGGTGGGTCTGATGAGTGAGGCCTAGGGTCACTCCCTGGTTCCATGATGCCTGGCACAGCAGTGCTCAGCACCCCCCACCACCACCAGGGGGATGGACAGACAGGTGGATACATGGACTATTGGGAGATAGCTAGGCTCAGTCATACTGAGTCACCAGAGCATTTTAGCCTCAGATGTCCTGCCCAGCTTCCCTGAGGTCTGCGTGTGGGGGTGAGGGGAATGCAGAGGAATGGGACGTGGGAAACATCCAGCATGATCTTCCTCTGCCCAGGGCTTGGTAGAGAAAAGTAGGTGGTGACCAGGCCTTTCCAGGATCCGCAGCAGGACCAGAGCTCTGGCAGATGCAGGAGGTCAGGCAGGGTCTGCTCAGACAACTGGAGGCTCTCAGATCCAGGGCTACCCTACACATTACCCTGCTGCTTCCAGACCTTGCTCACAGTGGGACCTCACACCCAAGAGCCTTGCCCAGCCAGGGGCTGGTCCCCTTTCAGAACTACAGGCACAGATGAGCCTATAGAAGAGCTAGACTCATGGCTCTCTTGTGCACTGGGGGCTTTTCTGGACCTGGAAGCCCAGATGCTGTGATCCTCCTGCTCCCTGACCTCTTAGACACAAGAGTCTGGGGGCAGGGTCTGCAACAAGCTCTGGGTCTGCCCAAGGAACAGGCTATTCCTGGCTGCCAGTGAGCCCACCCAGAGTCCAGGGTACTCACCCCGTGAAGACAAGGCACAGCAGGGTGCAGAAGAGGATGAGGACCTGGTTGAACATGGCTGACTGTGTCCGCAGGATAGCACGGTGGAAATCATTCTGCGGAAGAGGAAGCTGTCAGTGGCGGGGGGCCTGTAGTCCTGCCACAAGTCAACAGAGAAAAATGCTGGAAACTAAACTTCCTGGCCACAACTCCATCCCAGGTGAGGGCCATGGGCACCCTTGACCTGGGCAGGTCACCCTGGCCTCAACTTCCCCTCTCAGGATGGTCCCTGCCCACCCATACCCTAGGGGTGAGGGTCAAGCTCACATCAGAAGGCTGAGAGGTACTTTACTTTAACTGCGCTGTGCAATTAGGACAGGACTGGGGGAGGGTGAGTCAAGGGCCTGACTAGGAGGGGCAGGCCATGGTGGGCTGTGCTCAGCTGTGGTCAGGAAACAGGACTACCATCTATCCCCACAGTCCTCTGCACCCTGGACACCCTCTGTCTCCCTGGAAGGAAGAACCTGTAATCCTGGGGCTCCATCAGTGCTTACTGGCAAGCACCTCCTCATTATTCAACAAACTCACAGGAGACCCTCCTCGAGGGGCTACCACAGGTCTGGGCTCACCCACTGGCCTCCCAAGAATGGACATCAAGCATGTATACAGGGTCACTTGTCCCTCTGGTGCTGACATTTAATGAGACAGACCTTGCTTAGACAATCAGCAGAGGGTCTGACTACTACACCAGTTTGCGTGGGACCCAGGTTCTTGTGGCCCTGGTTCTGTCCTCAGGGCTGGGCTCGCTCACACCTGAACTTGTCCTGTCCCCTCCCCAGCCTTTCTTTCCCAGGTCAAGAAAAGTTCTCTTCCTGAAAAGAGGAAGTTTAAGGCTGGATTGGTACACATCAGTGTGGCAGAGACACCTCTGCTTGCACATGGCTGGCCTCCTGGCAGGCTGCCTGGCTGGGTGGGGAGAAGCCCATGGACTCTGACTTACAATCATGTTCTCCAGTGCGTGCTTGGCCAGCCAGCAGTTGAGGAACACGGGGATGAACAGGTTCCGCAGTGGCGGCCAGAAGACCTGCGGAGGGGGACAGGTCAGGACTGGGCTCGGGCGGCAGTGCTCCTGGGGCAGGGCTCACCTACCGTGATGATGAAGGGCAGTGTGTTGATCATCTCCAGGATGAAGGAAACTCGGAAGATCTGCTCACAGATGTTGCCCTGGGGGCCAGAGAGGGCTTCAGAGCTGGTGTGGGGAGGATGGGGGCCCCAGGGCAGGAGATGGAGAAAACCCACCCATGAGGTCAGGCAATAGTGCTGGGGGCAGACTCTGGAGTAACTCACTTTGTAGCTGAGGTAAATGAGGAGCATGGTTTCCAGGAAGCTTATTGTGGCCACAATGACCTGAGTGCAGAAAACAGAGGCTTTGGTGGATCTGGGGCCAAGGGCAGGGGCCACCCACGAAGGTCTTAGCAGGAAGACAGCAAGGATAGGGCATGTCAGCAGGAAGGAGAGGTTCAGACTGAGAAACACATGGAGGGGACAGGGTACCCTCAGTAGTCTCTGGGAAATTTGTAGGAAAAGTCACTGGGCCTGGGTTCCCCGCTTACTAAGTCTAGCTCCAGCCTAAGTGCTCACTGAGCCTGGCCAAGTGAACAGCCCTTCACCGTGGGGAGGTCAGCTGATGAGAAGCAGCAGGGCACAGCTGACACACTAGTTCTAGTTCAGACCATAATCGGCTCCACAGTCACCAAAGGGGAGGAGGGGCAGGTGGGGCACTCACCTGGACCACCCACAGAGCCATCTTCCTCTCCACCCACAGGATGGGGGCCCTGTGGAGAGAAGGGAGGTGAGCCTTGGGCAGGGCCCCAGCTGCCAGCACTCCCCTCAGTCAGGCTCAGCCCAGCCAGGGTCTGCAAGAGTGTCAAAGGCAAAAGAAGCCTCACAGCCAGATATTGTTCTCTGAAAGCACCGTCTCTGGCACTGACCCCAGCCAGGATCCAGTGTAGCTGAATGTGTCCTCAGGGAACTCAGGCTTTCAGGCTGAGGCTGGCCATTGCCCCTCAGGAGCTGGGCAGTGTGAGTCTCCGTTCACCCCCAACTTCTCCTCTTTCCCTTCTGCCCACCCCCACCTGGCCCTGACCCCAAGCAGCCTGGCAAATGGAAGCCAAGAGTGAACTCACCAATTGAATTCAGAGGATGAACCATTGAAAGTGTAATTATACTTTGTGCAGCCCCAGCTGTGAAGAAACAGAGGCAGAGTGGCCACAACCCCACCAGTGCTGACTCCAAAGACTCTTTCTGGGGCTGCCATGGGCTCAGGGTGCACAGGAGGAGTACCTACTTGCTCACCCAGGGCCCACCCCAGGTGCTTTGACTCTAACACTTCACAGGAGGAGCCTGACCCACGCTGTAGTAACCCACAGGGTGTGTCTCTAACTGAGGAGGGTTTGCCTGCTCAGCCAGAGGATGAGCTGGGAACCTATCCCAGGTCTTGGGGATCTGGGCCCAATAGTGAGATACTGCTTAGGAGAAAGCTAGGGTCCTTCCTGTGTTGATAAGCTCCATAGGGAAGGCCCTGTGCAGTTAGGGATAAAACATGAGGCATTTGGGGCCTCCTAGAAGCCAGAGCTCCCTTGACAAAGGTGGGACAATGTTTGAGAAATAGACAAAACTCCCATCCTAAAATGCTAACTAAACAATGGTGGTCCCCAAGCCACTCTAGAGGACAAGCATCTTCAAGTACCTAGAACCAGCTGATGAGAAGCGGCACGGCACAGCTGACATACTAGTTCTGGTTCAGACCATAATCAGCTCCACAGTCACTAAAGGGACCTCACTGCTCACAGTGCCCACAAGATGGGCAGCTTATCCCCTCTCCTCTTTCACTGACCTACTTTCCTCCTGAGCCTTCTTGGGGTTGTTGTACTAATGCCCACAGAATTGTCTAATTGTTCCATCCTCCCAACCATCCATCCACCTTCCCACCCATCCATTCACTCCCCTACATTTCTATCGTCTTACCCAACATCCATCCATTCATCTCATTGCTATCCATCCATCAATCCATCCATCCATCCATCCAACCAATCACTCATCTGTGACCTCATCTACTATATCCATTCACCCATGCATCCTCTTATCAAACACCCACTCATCATACCTACTATCGATCCACTCACCCATTCATCCACCATCTCATCTATCCTCCATCCATCTACCCACCTATCCTCCCTTCCTTTTACCTAACATCCATACATTATCTCAACTCTTACCCATCCATATACCTATCCATATCCTCTTCCATCTCTCCATCCATCCACCCAATCATCTGCCCATCCATCTATATAACTACCCACCAACCACCCATTCATCCACCCACCAACCATCCATCCATATCTCATTCATCACCCATCCATCCAACCCCTCACCTACCTACCATCCATCCTCTTTTATGCAACATTCACTGATACATCCGTGTACCCATCCATTCACTTTTCCATCTACCAATCCGTCCATCAATCCATCCAACCACTCACCCACCTATTCACCATCCATTTAGCTACCCATCTGCCCATCCTCGCACCCACCATCTTTGTGTCAGACACCATGCTAGGGATAAGTAATGAATACAATGGACCTGGGTCCTCTGGGGTGCTAGAACCAGAAGCCCAGGAACCTCTGGGAACTGGAGGTGTGAGAGACCCAGAAAAGTGGTTGGAAAAGTCAGTGATAGCCCCCATTTCTTTTTCTCAAATCACTGTGGGACATTCTACCCTCCTCTGACCTGGACAAAGAGAGGGGCTTGTTCTCAATAGCAGGTGAGGGTTGCTGACCTGGGGACACCAGGTACCCCCTGACAATGGGTAACAGACATAAAAGGGGAATTATACAAAAGTTTGTGCACAAGCTCAGGGTCCTGTCTCCTTCTGGGTTTGGTGTCCAGGACCCAGCAGTCAGGGAAGATCCTGCTCTGAGGGGCCCAAGAGGAAACCCAAATTCTGGCAGGGTCCACAGGTGGCCTAGCAGTAGGACCCACACCACAGGCCCTGACTGTGGAGCCCCATGGTGTTTATCCTCAGATAGCTAGACATCTGAGGAAATCTTCTGGTGTGAGAATTTGGCCAACATGAGTGATCCTGGAAGAAACAGACTGAGTAAAAGAGGTAAGGGCCAGGGGACAGCATCCTCAGAGAAATGAGGGAAGCCAGGCTCGCCAGGAGCAAGGACTCAGACCTTGAGAAAGGAGACTTCTAGAACTCCTGAGCAGGATGGAAAGAGAAAATGAGGAGTTGGGAGAACAGGGGCAAGCAGGTGGCCCAAGGCCCAGCTTCTAAACTCCAGGGAGCCCAGAGCAAATGACTGAGGGGAAGCCATCGGCAAGGATGCAGTTCAAGACAATCCCAGCACTGAGGGCCACCAGACCAAGCCAGAGATGAGCTGGAGCCACACCAAGTCATCCCTGGGCACAGAGAGCCCAGCGGAATCCAGGGAAGTAAAAATGCATGTCCTACAAGGGTCAGGGGTGGGAAACAATACCGACATCTCCAAGCAGCAAGGGCAGCAGGAAGACCACAGAGACTTCAGAAAATTAAGTGCCCAACCCTCCCTGGGTAGGCTCCTCTGAGGACACCTCAGACAGCAGTTGTCTTCAGCTCAGAGTGGCTGGAATGTGCACAACTTGACAGTAAGTGAGCAACTGAGGAAATGGACACCACTGGCCCAGGAGGGGCAAGTGGAGCAAGTGGAGCCTCCAGAAAGAAGCCCAGAGTGCCAGCTTTCTGACTTCCTGCTGCACGGAGTTTCCCCAGAGGCCAGGTGTCCCCTGCTTCCACCTGCAGGGGCTGGAGAGAATGGGAAGACCCACTCTCATGCGGGCAGCACTGGCCCTCCAGCTTTACCATGACCTCTGTGTCCATGAGCAGCTGTGTGTGCACCTGTATGATGGAGGCCCTTCTCCCTACACTGAGTCAGTCAGAGGGACCTGGGGACAGTATTCCGGGCATGGCTTTGGTACCAGGGCTACACTTGGGAAGGAAGGACTCCCTAAGAACCTGGGCATGCGGCTTCCTAGAGGCCTGGCTGGATGCTGGTCACAGTCCTACACACTGACCCTGTAATGACTGTGGGACCCAGATAGGAAGGCTTGGCTTCAGGACCCTGGGCCCCAGATTGTGGATCACCCACCAGCCGATGCCCATGTCTGGGTTGTCCAGCAGGACTCGTACGATGTACAGCAGGCAAGTGAGGAGCTTCAGAGAGAAGTTGAAGAGCCGGATCCTCAGGCCTGTGGGAGTGTGGGTGTCAGGGCAGAGGCTGTGGGGAGCAGGGCCCACCAGGGTCTCTCTTAATAGCTCTTCTTTAGAGTTCCCTGGCTGGGCCTCCCCTCCCATCCTGGGTTGCCTTGGAGGGAGAGGACAGGTGCATCTGAGCCAGCCTCCTCCCCAGTACCCATCCCAGCCACCATACAAATGCAACCCTGAGGCTCAGGGTGTAGGGATTCCTGAGGCCACTCCATTCTTTGGGGGGATACTGGGGACATAGAGCCCCCTTCCTGTATCTCAGGAGTGGTCCAGGATGGCGAAGCTTGAAACTGGGAGGGAGTGAAACTGGAAGGGTGCTGCAGAGGGAGGAGGCCCAGCTGGCACCTGTGGATGGCAGGTCTAGCCCAGCCCAGTGTCCAGCATGAGGGGCAGGGTCCCCACAGGTCTGGCTTCACCATCTTGGGGGTGTGCTGCTCTCAGGCAGTGTGAAGCTGAGATGAACCATCCCCTTCTTCTATCACTCTGACAAAACCCCAGCTGTGTGGCCAGGACCTTTCCCTGCATTAACTCCTGTGCCCTGCCCCCACCCCTGCCTGGGAGCACCCCGACCCCCACTCACTGGATCTTTGGTTTTTGATGAAGAACAGCTTGAGCCGCTCCTTGAAGGTGTTCTCATTGACGTAGAACTCCACCTGGACCCTGGGGGCAGGAGAGAGCTATGGGATTCAAGCCTAGAGGCAAGCCCAAAGCCCAAGCCAATCTGATTCCCTCACAAGGGAGAGAGCAACAGATGGACTCAGAAGGGCCAGCACCTACACCTCAGACCTGGGAGGCCTGGGTCCAAAGAAGCCGCCTGCCCTGGACAACAGCTCACCTGCCTGTGGTCTTCCCAAAGCCTTCCCTAAGCCTTCCCTCAGCATACCTGGAGCCAATGGCTACTACCTGCTTGGTGTCCAGGGCCCTCCAGGTCCCAAAGAGGCTTAGGGCTATAGAACCAAGTTCTCAAACCATGCCACAGACCTGTACGAAATGTCCAGGAGCTGGTGGTCAATGATGTGCCTGGTGGCATCCAGTAGTGGCTGTGTTCTGAGGCTGCACTCACTGCAGCCTCAAGGATAGACAGTAGGGCCAGAGAGACTGGCAGGAAGTAGTCACCCCGAGTCACCCTGAAGGCCAGCAGGGGAGCCCTTCCAGTCAAGGCTCTTTTCCTCAGACTCCCCTGTGGCTACTGACCCCCTTCCTCATGCTGTTGCTTACAAGCCCCTCATTTGCCTGGTCTCCCCACCGTGAACGGAGCACTGAGGGCCCAGCAGGAGTCCCCCGGCTGCCAACAGGGGTGAGCACCTGGCCACCACCTGCTGCCCCATCTCCATACCCAGGAAGGGCCATATGGTCACTGAGAATAACATGGTGCCTGAGGGTGGACAGGCCACTGCCTCTCCTGTACCAGCCTTGGACTCAGGGTCTCCTGTGCCTGACTCTGCCTAACTTTGGGCCAGGCAGGGCTTCGCGTCCCACCAAACTGAAAGCGCTTGTGCTGACACATGAAGGGTGGCAGGAGACTAAGCGTGGACACAAGGTCCAGCTGCAGGTGTGACCAGCTTGCTGTATTTCCCTCTGGGAACTGGGGGAGTCATGTGTCCCCTAAAAGCACCTGCTGCTCCCTGGTGATGGGCCACCCTCAGATGTGATCCCTGGCACTTTCTACCACAGGCTGAGCCTCCCTCAGGTGTGGGGCAACACACAGTCCAGGTACCACAGTACAGGGCAGGGTCATGACGCTGGAGGGCAGAGGAACAAGTGCCCCGCAGGCAGAGTCCTGCTGCCTGGAAGGATCGTGGAGGACTGCATGCAGGAGGCATAGGTGGAGTTGCTGGCCTGGGTCCCTGTTCCTTTCCTCTCTCTGTGATTGTCCACTAGGGCAGTGGGCCATGGACATCTGCTCTGAGTAGGCACAGGCTCCATCAAGGCAGTCTGAAAGTCTGTCACTGCCCAGCTGGGGCTGGCCACCCCAATATTCCCAAATACCAAGTAAGTGGTGCAGACCCACTGTGTGCATAGCAGCCTTCTCTGTGCGCCCTGTGGTGGGCTGGAGGGAGGGGCCTAGTGACAGAGGCTCTGATAGTCACAGAGCCCGGGAAGGGCTGGGGGAGCCTAGGCCCTCCTCCCTGAGGACAAGGCTTGGTTGGGTCCCGATGCAGGTGGTCACCTGGCTCATTCTGGATTCTAGGGCCAGGTGGCAGGCTCAGCCTCCCAAAGACCAGTGGGGCCGAGGCAGTACCAGTGGCTGGTATACCCCAGTGTCAGGGTGTGCAGCATGCCTCATTGCACCCCACAGTGTCCCTGATGTCCCACTGCACCCCCAGTACTCAGCACATCCCACTGTACACCATAGCACACAGCACACCCTAATGCACCCCCAGTGCCCAGCATGCCCCACTATACCCCCAAACGTACCATCCAACTATACCGCCTCTCCACCCCAGCATATCCCATCATGTCCTACTGCAACCCACCATACCCCAGAACACCCCACTGTCCCCCACACCCCCCCACGTAGCCCACGGTACCCGGCACACTCTCCTTTTCTTGTGCGGCCATGAGCCCCAGCCCGGAGAGGCTCTGTACATGCGGTGCCCCAAGGAGTCTGGAATCCCTTTCTCTCTGAAGGACCCCGAGGCTGGGTGGGGTGGGATGGGCTGGAGGCCAAGGACATGCTGGGTCTCGTCTAGGTGGGGTGGGGCAGGGCAGGGGTGGAGGTGGGGAAGTGTCCCTCAGGCCTGGGCCCAGGGCCTCCCCCCAGCGTCCACCTCCTCTCACTATCAGGGGTCCCCAGGGACCACTCGGTCCTAAAGTCATGTGTGGAGCTCATAAGCAACTCTCTCCCACATGCCTGCCTCCTCCATAGCAAAGGGTTTACAGAGGTCTCCTCATACCCTCACCCTCTTCACTCAGTCTCAGCCCCACTGGGTCCTCTACAGGTGACCAAGGGCCCCTCAAGGGCAGTGTAGTAGCCCAGTCTCTCTTCTTCTCCCATGGGCTTCTCAGATCACTGGCCATGACCCCCACACACACCCTTTCTGCCCCACTCTGGTTCTCTTCCCACATCCTCCATGGCTCTGTCCCCACCCAAAATGTGAGGGTCCCAGATGCCTCTTGTAACCTGCCAGCCCCAGGCATTAAATTCCACTTCCACAGGTGACTTAACCCAGCTGGGTTCTGCTCTGTTGTCCTCTGGCCACAGTGGGGATGAGGATTGAGTGTCCCCAAGGCTGCATGTGTGGGAGTTTAATGCCCACCGTGAGGTACTAAAAGGTGGGGCCTCTGGGTGCAATAAGGTCATCAGGTAGCGACCCCATGATTGCATCCTGATGACCTTACAGGCAGAGGGAGAGAACAGGATAGCCACATGTGCTTTCTATCTCTTCCTATGTGGTGCCCTGTGCCACCTCTATACTCTGCCAGCTAGACCTGCTATCGCCAGATGCATCCTTGACCTTGGACCATATGCCAAAATAAATACCAAGTCTTCACAACTTGGCCAGTCTGTGACGTGTTGTTTGCAACAGAAACACGACCATTACACTCTTCTTGGGCAGAATCCTCTACGAACCCACATCAGACCCTCAAGACTCTGGTCCCACCTCTCTCCCCAGGTCAGAGTCAGCTCAGCTTTTGGGACACCCTGGGGACCTTGGGGGTTTCAACCTCCCCACCCTCCTAACCAACCACTGGCTCCAGTGGCCCACCTTGAGGGAAGCCAGAACTCAAGCCCTTCCTGCCTGGTCTCACTAGACAGCCACATGCCACCTTGTGGAACATTCCTGTTGTCCACCTGCCCTGTCTCCAACTTGGGATCACCTCTGACCTTCCACCATCAGGCCTGAGGGGGCCTGGCCTCCCCTCCTAGGGTGGGTACCTGGCTCCTCCCTGACCACCCTGCCCCACTTGGAGCTCCCAGCCCTCCATTTCATACCCACACCCACTTCCAGCTGTGTCTCAGGCCCCTCAGAGCCAACGCCTACTTCTATCCTTCACCTATCCAGGACCTGGCCTTGAGCTCAGAAAATGCAGGCTCCTGAAAAAAAAAAAACCACAAAGCCATGGAGAGCCAGTGTGCTGCTCTGTCTTCACAGCCAGGGAGCAAAGAAACAAGTGTGCTCCTGTTAGCATCCTTTCTGGGGCTTTTGGGGAGCAAGGTCTCTGTCCCTATCCAAGCACTGTGGGGTCAGGGCTGCTGACCCTGCCTTGGCCCTGCTCTGACACCCCACATAGTACCGAGTTGCCTCTCAGCAGGATGAGATATTGACATGCATCTAGTCAGTCCCCAAGTGCTTAGTGACACTGCCCACTTACTGGGGGAGGCGCTGTCCACGCAGAGCCTGTGGGTCCAGGCAGCTTGGCTCCCCTCAAAGTTGGAGCCCTGCAGTGCCAAAGTAATTAATGAAGCTCCCTCACTTTTAATTTTTAATGAACTGCAGCCACCCACTTCTTCCGTCACCACCACAAGCAGTAGATTAAAACTGTCCACTGAAGTATCTACGGAGGCAGGTGAGATTTGCTCTGATGAATCACACATGGGCAGAGGCAGAACCCTGGAGGGTACCTGGCTGGGTCAGCTTGGGTAACCCTGCTGGAGTGGAGGAAATACCCCATTGTGAGCTACCCCTGATCTCCAGCAGCGCCTGGGGCTCATGGGCACCCTCAGCCTGCCTGAAGCAGGCCATGAAACGTATTGGCCTGGCAGTCAGAGGCCCAGGACTGAGACCTGGAGTCCACTGGGAAGCCAGACATGGACCCTGTCCCCTACATATCCTGGCCTCAGCTTCCCATGGGGGAGTGGGAACAATGACATGTGCTGGCCCCCATGGGTGTCACCAAGGTGCCTGGTAGGCAGAGGGGCTTTGTCAATGTTGAGGTTGAAATGACCCCTGCTGTGACCCAGGCTTCTCCCTCTGTGTACGCCCACTGGAGGAATGCAGTGAGATGACAGTGTTCTTAGTATGGAGGTGGTCTGCACTGCCTTTGGGATCGTGTGGATGTCAGGGCAGCCTGGACAGCCAGTGCAGGCCTGGGCTGCTAAGGGCTCCATGAAGCAAACCTATAGCCTTGTAACTGACAGCTCCAGCTATGCCATCCACCTGGGTAGGACCCAAGCCCAACCACCAGTCTGAACCTGGGTAGAGCACATGACCAGCCCTGGGGCCTAGACAGAGCAGACACACGGCCCAAGGTTGCTGGCTGTTTGGGGCTGGCAGGGGTGGGGAGAGGCCTGCTACCCTTAGCCCCAAGCCTTCACCTCACCTGTGGGGCTTAAGCAAAGACCCATATCTGTGAGTTCTCCCCCAACCCCCTTTCTGGGGATGAACCTGGGTGACAGTGGATCCAGCTCAAAGGCCAGGGTAGAGCCCAAGGCCTTCCTAGTTCCTCACCCACTTTCCTAGGAGACAGAGGCTACTCCTACAGGTGGGCCTGCTGTCCCAGGTTAGCCCATGGCCGGGGTGCCCTGGCTCCACAGGGCAGGTAAGGGAGTTGGGAGTCATCCATCCTTCCTCAGTGCCTGGAGGGGCAGGGCAGCTAGGGCCCTGTGAGCCCTGGCTAGAAAACAGTAGCAGCCTGGCTGGGATTGTGGGGAGGAGGGGACAGGGAGTCTAGACTTCTCAGTCTAGCAGATGGCCCTGGCCTGGCCCTCCCCTGACAAGCCAGCCCTCCTGGACCCCTGGGACCAGAACAAGGCCAGGGACATCTGTTCTGACTAGTGACATGGCCTTGGGCACTCAGGAGGCCACACACAGGTCTATATCCTCCCACAGACGTGAGACCCAACTCCTCAGATGCAGGGGGTGTTCAGGAAAGCCCTATGTGTGTGTGTGTGGGGGGGGGGGGCGTGCCACTGGAATGCTAGGCCAGAGATGGAGGCTCAGGCCATGACTCTAGTGTAATTACAAGCCTGAACACAGCACAGGCAAGTGTCTTGAATGCTCAGCAGCTGGAAGCACAGAGAGAGTGGTGGTTACCGCTACCAGCAACGTTAATTAATAAAACCAATAAAGAACAGGCCCCATTTGAGGCCATGCTGAACACGATAAACCTGGGCGCCAGCAACATGCCAGGATACAACTGCTCTTGGGGGGGGGCGGGCTCTGGCTGCCTCCCTCCACTTGACCTAAATCTTAGCTGAAGTCAGACAGACAGACAGCAGAGCCCCCCAGCCCCAGCTGGGACTCACAGCGGGGAGGACTGCTCCCTTTGAGAGCCCTGAGAGCCAGAGCTGTCTGCACGCCTGTCCCTGTATGGGAACAGTGGCAGGTCTCCAGTCTCCATCCTGCATCCTGCATCCAGCTGCTTCTAAGGGCCTGGCCACCACTGCAGGGGCCTGGGGAACCCACCTCTGGGTAGCCAATTTCTTGTTCTGAGGCTCCTTCCCAGGGACCCCCTATCATCCTGTCTCTACCCAAGCCCCCAAGACCCAGAAGCACCTGCTGGTGCCAGGAGGTGCTAGCCAGCTATGCCATTCCCTTGCTTGGCTGCAGGGCTGTGGTACTGGGCAGAGTGGACAGTCCCACAGGGACTGATCGCCCAGGAGTGTGAAGACACATCTGTACCTGAGACAGCCCCCTCCCATGAAGCACTTACTGAGAAAAGGAGGAGTCCAGGCTGAAATCTTCCACGTGTGGCCTGGGGATGCAGAGTGGACCCATCACAGAACACGTGTGTGGGCAAGTGGGCCGAGGGGCTGGGCCCTGAGACCAGGTGGGCGGTCCAGGCAGAGTCCAAGGGCAGCAAGGCATACTTGGCTCCCACGCACCCCTAACCTGTGGAGCCCCTGCCACAGCAGCTGGTGTCAGGACAGGAAGCCCAGCATGCAGGGCGGGTGTAAGCCGGGCCCTCTCCCTCAGTACTGAGGAAGCAACCCACTCATGCAGCCCCTGCACCTCAGCCAGATGGACATAACAACCGCAGTGAGGACAGGACTCCTGCCTGCAGCCAAGGCAGCAGGTAATGGTACACCTGGAGAGTCACCACTCTGCCCCAGGCCCATGTGGGACCTCAGCATCCAGAAATAGCCCTGTCAGCCACAGATCACTCAAGGAAACTCAGGGCAGCAAAAGCAGCCCTTGCATAGGGTTGATAGGGTTGTACAGTTGGACACAACCCACCAGGCTCACCTCTGCCTGGCCTGCACAAGGCTTTCTTGCCCACAAAGCTCAGACTTCTCTTCTATCCCCGTCGGACACATGGCCAGGAGCCTCATTCCTGACTCTCTGCTTCCTGAGGACTAAGGTACACCCCTCCACTAGGCCAGCCCCAGGCATCCTGGCTATGGGTTTTCTCAGACTGGCCAGGGGGCACTGACATCAAGGTTGGTGTGGCCTGCACTGATCAGGAGCCAGGGAGAGGCTGAAGGGACCAAGGACTCTGGAGGACTAGGCTATGCAGAGGCCAGTCAGGGCAAGGTTGCCTTTGCTGATTGTCTGCTGTCCTGGCCCAGCTCCTCCACAGAGGACTTCAGAGGGCCTTTCTCTTTTAATCCTCAAAGTAACCACTCAGAGAGCCATGGCCCTCAGAGAAGACCACTGACTTCCCAAGGTCACTCAGGCAGGAAGGAAGGAGTTGGCCTGCAGGGTTCAATCAGCATCTTGCAGTGGCCTGTGTTGGGCCCTCACTACGGGATCAGGCTCCCTCCTAGCACCCCAGCCCTAGCAGCTGCTGGTCCCTGGGTGAGCAAACTAGAGGCTGGACACACTCCAGGAGGACTGAGGCCCTGGCTGGGTGTGGCAGTGGTTTGGCAGCTCTGAACAGCACAGGGAAGGCTTAACTGGACCTGAGCATTAGGGCCACTGAGTACTTCCAGCAGATTCTTCATGTTTGTCTGGCTGGGGTTCCTCTCACTGGCCTCAGTGCTGACCAAGCACTGATCTGGGGCTGCAAGACCCTGGCATAGTGTGGATTGCTACAAGGAACCAACTTGCCAGCTTGCAGGTCCAGGTCTGTTGGGAGGGGAAGTCCTGCCCACAGCCCTGGTTCTGCTCCCTAGGACAGACTAGCCTTTCTGTACAGGGCCACTTTGATCTCCTCCTGAGCCCCCCCCTGCATTCACAGCAGTGCCTGGGGGTGACCAAGCTGAGCCCCTCCCCCGAGCACATCCCTCCTCTTTCCATAAGCCCGGATGGAGTTCTACCAGGCACTGCCCTGACAGGGCCCCTCCTCTGCCATGTCACCTGGCCCAGGCTCGTGTTGGGAGGGGCCTGCCATGCAAACAGGTAAAGGGGCCCAAGTGCCCCCCTAGTAATGCAAATGCCTGCGGGCAAAGGAACACAGTGCTCTGCCCCCGCCCATGCAGACCCCAGCTGCAGACTGGACCCATGAGAATGAGGTCAGCCTCCTGGGTTGACCCTACCAGTTGAGTGGCAGAGTGAGGAGGTGAGGAAAGAGAAATGGGGTTCCATCTGGAGCACCTAAGCCCGTGGCCCAGTGGGACCTGTCCCAGCAACTAGTGACCCACAAACCACCTGGAACTTCCCTTGGCCACAGTGCAGACCTAACAAACTCAGACTCAGAGCCAGGGCCTCACCTTGGGTTCCTCTCTCTGCCAATAGCTGGGTCAACACACAGCATAAACTGGGCTTACAAGAGAAGGTCTCATCCCTACCTAGAGCAGCCGGTGACAGCAGCCAGATGAAGGCTCAGGATGGAGCCCTGTGTTTCTGCTGAATCCAGCAGAGCCTGAACTGGGGGACAGCAGGACCCCAGGAGAGCAGGGACTTGTGCCTGGAAGAAGCAGGCTCAGTCACCAGGCCCTAGAGAAGCAGCTTCTCTAGGAACCTCTCTGAGCCAGTGAGGGCCAGAGTGCCTGGCTGTCCCCTTTCCTCTGTACCCTTTGAGCCCTGAGTCCCAAGAAATGTTTTAGGGAAGAGGGCTCTGTGCTGAGTCTGGGAACTTCCAAATTCCGGGCCTTGGGGGTGCACAGTGAACATCTGATTAATAGTTGCAAGTCTCAGTGGGGTCCCACATGCAACCAAGGAATCTGCTTATTCTGAGCTGAATTGTGTACCCCAAAGTTCCCATACTGCAGCACTGACCCCCTCCCCAGAACAGTGACTATAATAGGAGAACAGATCTTTACAGAGGTCGTTAAGTTGAAATGGGGTTCCGTAAGTGGCCCAACCCACTGTGATAGAGTGCTGGTAGAAAGAGCTCAGGACACCATCAGGCATGGAGAGTGAAGGCCACACAAGGACATGGGAGAAGATGGCCAGCAGGCTGAGGAAAGAGGCCAGCCCTGCCCACTCCCTGACTTTGCTCCAAAACTACAGCAAAATAAATTTCTGTGTTTTAGGCCCCCCAGCCACGCAGCCTCAGCCTACTCACACACCACTTAATGAAGAGCCCTGTATCTCTCCAAAGGAGCAGGAGTGCACCCACCCATCAGGTCAAGCCAGCCATCCAGACAGGCCCATCCTGGAAGTGGAGGTAGGGGTGGGGAGGACACTGAAGCAGGAAGCTGCATAGTGATGGAGATGGGGCACTTCAGAGATGACTTGAACTCAGGGGGCCATCTCAGTGTGAGAGCCACTGGAGTGCACTCCACAGGGGTGCTCTGGGTGGAGTGGGGCATGCAAAAGTGGGGTTTTGAAAACCATGAGAAAGGCCAGCATGTTGGGGCATGAGGAGAGGCTCTGTGTGGGAGTGTGGAGGACTGAGTCCACTTTGGTGGGGCAGGGGGAAGAGACAGGCCCCTGGGGGGAGGATACAGGGGCTGCTGGAAGGGTCCAGAGCTTCAGAGGGGGGGAAGGGTCCTGGCAAGGGGGACAGGGGGCTCAGCAGACCGTCTCCTGAGCCCACAAATACCAGGGCAAGTAAGTGTCTGGGGAAGGGGAGGGGCTCTGCCCACAGCATTTGGGCTATGCCAGACCAGGGTCACCAAGAAACCCAGGGTCCTGGGGAGAGCCACAGGACCACTTTGAAGCCCAAGGACCCACCCTATAGAGGTCTCGGGCTTTGGGGGAGATATTAGCAGATGGCTTGATAGCCTGGAATGGAAACAAGAGGACACAGTACAGTACGGGAGGAAAAGGGGTGTGACAGGCAGTCAAGGGCTGGCTGTAAGAGGAGAGGCCCCATAGAGGCTGAGGCTGAGTTGGAGGCTAAAGCAGCAGTGTCCTGAGTAAGACAGTGGACAGAAAGCAAGTGGACAGCTTCCCGAGGTGTCACATGGGGCTGAGGAGGGCTCTCAGAGGGCAGGCTTAGGGCACTTGTGTGTTGGCTGGTGGGAAGGCAGCAGGGGAAAGGGCCCTGGGAAGTCCTGGGTGTCCAAAGCCATGGAGAAAGGGGCTTTGTCCTCAGAACACTTTGGGCCAGCTGCTGCAGGTGTGCAAGTGTAGGGCAGACTCGGCCCAGAAGCCAAGTTGATCCTGGAGTAGCCCAGAGGGCATGGGCTGACAGGTGCTAGAATGCCACGGAGAGAGGCCCTCCAGACACTGCTCCCCCCTCCCCGCCAGCCGCCCTTCCTGGGGTCCATCCTCAGTGGACACAGAGCTGTTGTCAAATCAGGCTCAAAGGGGCTGCATGGATGGGCTGGGGATGAGCAGTGGGAGTGGCCACTTTCTGTAGCGCTTGTCTGGCACAGCTCAAGAACCCCAGCCAGATCTATAACAGGCCCTGCCACACCTCTAGACCTTCTAAGACCCCCAGGCACATCTGAGGACCCTGGTCCTTATCCCTGAAACTGCCCGACTGGGTCTCCAGGTGCCTCCAACTTGGTCTGTAGAATCTTCATTCCACAGCCCACCCTCTGCTCAGGAGCTCAAGACGCCAGGGGCCCACCTCAAAGCCCCAGGAGTACACCTCATAGGTCTTTCTGCAGGGCAGTGCCCAGGGCCTTCTCCACCTTGGATCCCCTCACCTGCCTTCTCTGGGCTGCAGCTTAGATGGGCACAGATTAGGTGTGGCTTGCCTATTCACTGGTTCTGTCCCTCTAGGTTCTCCCCAGCTCCCTCTGCTTGGAAATGTCTCCTTTGCACCCCTCACTGCCTGGCCAGTTCCAAAGGAGCCATTGGGCCCAGGGTGTTGAGGAGTTAGAAGGAGCCCTAGCACCTTACCCACTAGGCTCCTGGGCTCTAAAGTTCTGTCTAGAATGAGGGTCCTCATTGCCCCCACCCACCCAGGTCACATATTCTAACTATTCTTCAGTCTCACATGGAGACGGAGAAGCAAGGTGCAGATCCAAGAATTTGGGGAGCCCAGCTAGGGGAGGTGGGAGAGACCAAGGCTGGCCCACTAGGGGCACTCTGGGCAGGTTTGTGTCCCTCACTGTGGACATACACAGGCAGCAGGCTCCTCCCATCCACCAGTGGTTCAGTCCTGGTGGTGGCAGAGACCTCCTTCTGCCTTGCTGCCTTTCCATTAGTGGAAAGGGCCAAGGACTTGTGACTAGGTAGGGAACGCTAACCCTGACTGGTCCTGAAGGGTGACACAGGCATGCAGGACAGGGATAGCAGCAGCAGGACCAGAACCTCCCTGTTCTGGTCTGGCCTGGAAACTGCCAAGTTCCTAAAGCACGAAGTCCTTCCCATGCTGGGAACCTGCCTTGGCTTTCTACTGCTCATCTCCAGTGCAAACACTGCAGCTGCAAACTTCAGGCAGGTGCTTCCCCAGCCCAGCTGTGCAGCAGCTCCCTTCTCTCTACCCTCAAAAGGAGGCTGGCAAGGGCCCTGCACTTGGTGGCTGCTGGGAATGGAAAGAGGCCACCCCTGAGAAAGGGTCAGCAGCATGGTTTGTGGTCCATAGGGACAAGGGCAGGGTGAGCAGAGGGGAGGGCTTCCTGGGGGAGGTGACGGAGGCTTCCATGCTCACTGGGGGCTCAGATGCAGACTGGACAGGATGGCAGTCCCTGTGGCCTGCCCTTCCAGAGCCAGGCTGGCCATCAGTGGAGTTTTAGGAATCACTGGCCCCATGGTGTCCAGGAAAAGGAGGGAGAGAAGAGGAATGGGTCCCCAGGGCCTTGGCCAGCACTCACTGCTCTCCTGCCCTAAGCTATCCATTAGCTGTGGGAAGACCCTGAACAGTCTCTTCTGGCAAATGGGGAAGCAGCCTTCCTCCCAAGGTGCTGTGAAGATCAGAAACTGGGTGTACGGGATGGGGAAGGCCAGGACACTCGTGGGCAGGGGGAGGGGAGAGAGGCGCCCCAGGCCCTTGGTCCAGCCATCTGTCAGGCCCAGCCTCTGCCAACCTCTGGCAGCCTTGACTCAGCCCTGCAAACCCCCACCCCAGTTTTGTCCCTTGTTGTCCCTGTGGCTGGAAGGCCCTAACAACTCCTGCTCCTTCCTGAAGGACCAGCACCAGGGAAGCCCAACTCTCTTGGCTTGGCCTCTCCTTTCTACCAGGCACAGACTTCATGCCACTATGTGCCCACACCAGGCCAGGTCTGATTCATTCTCGTTTCCCCCGCAGCATCCGGCAGGGCTCCTGGCACAGGCAGGTGCTGGCTAGGGATTTTTTGCTGCAGATGAGACTTCTGTGTCCTCATCCGTGAAATGGGGTGCTGTGTCCTGTCAGGTGCTTGCCTAAGGCTGGAAAGGGGCTGAGTGGTCCCTGTCTCTGTGGGGTGGGCCCCCTCCCAGGTTGGCCTCCTCCACTCTGGCTGCTGCAGGCTCCAGGCACCAGGCATTGGCTCTGGGCATGCCCTGGGGGCTCCCACAGGATGCCTGACAGCCTCCTAGCACCCTTTGCTGTGCAGCCTTCTGCAAGCCCCCTGCTCTGCCTGGGCCTATGCTGCTCACCTCTGAAGTGCCTGTCTCCCCACCAAGTGCCCTGGAACCAACCTGAGTGGGGCTCCCGTGGGACAGAGTACGGGCAGGGTCCGAGCCACCTGGTACATAACTCAGGTCCACTTCCTCCCGTCTTACCTGCAGGCCCACTGTGCTCAGCCTCTAAGCAGGGGACTGGGGGCAGGGTGTCTCAGAGGTTCCCCAGGACTGGCTGGAGCCAAGGTGGTCAAGGCACCTGGGTGAGGGTTGGGAGGGCAGATCCGAGCCTCACCCCACCCCCTCCTAGGCTGCAGGCAGAGCGGCAGGTGCAGTGAGGTGAGCAGAGACCCTGCGAGAGCGAGCGAGCGAGATGCTGCGAGCGAGATGCAAAGCCCCTCCCGGCGCGGCGCTGCGGGGTCCCAGGCCCGCCCCTACCTCTGGCCCACGTCGCTGCCCACGGAGCCCCCGCCGCGGGCCGGCAGCAGGGGGCTGAGCCCGTGCGGTTCCTCGGGGGCCGAGGCGCCGGCCGGGGCGCCCTCCGGGCCCGCCTTGCCCTCGGACGGCGAGCGAGGCAGCTTGGCCCGCGCCATCCTGCGGGAGCGCTCGGCACGGGAGGCGGTGGCGGGGGCGGCGCCGGGCGCAACCATCGCGCTCCGCACGCGTCCCCCCCCCGCGCCGCAGTGGAACAGTCCGGGGGGGTGGGGAGGGCGCCGGCTCCGTATCTTGTGCCCCCAAGCAGGCCCCAGACTCAGTCCCGACCAGGATACTCCAAGGAGGACGCGGCACCAGGGGCACCGGGTACCTGGCCGCCTTACACCAGGAGTAACAGCAATGGTGATAATGACAGTTACCTCACTGGGGGAATGGGAGGAATGGGGCAGGTGACAACTGGTGGCCCACCTCAGGAGCAAGAGCTGCTGGAGAGTGGGGGGAGCCATGCCTGCTTGGCATGTGCTCACATCACAGCCCTCCTGTGGGCCCTAGGTCTTGCTGCTCATGATGGGAGGCTCAGAGTCCCCAGTCTGGGTGCCTGCCCAGGTGAGATGGGTACTCCCATCCCTACCAGGTGGGAAATGGGGGGGGTGCCTATCCTCCCTCCTACAGGCACTCAGCGTCCTCACCATTTCCCCATTTCCTACCCCCAGAGCTGTCCAGCACCCAGCAGGGATGGGGATGGGGTGGCGGTGGGGGGTGACGACTCAGTTTCTGGTGTACTCTGAGGCACCTAGCAGAGCCGCCCACTAACACAAGCAGATTGAGCAGGCTATACAGATTTTTGCCCATTTTGCAGAGTGGAGAAACAGGTGCTGGTTTCCCCAGGAAACTGAAGCGGGAAGGAGCAGGGCAAAGACTTGAACCCAGGACTGGCTGATTCAGAGATGGCTTGTCCTGTGGCTTTTCTTCACAGGTGAGGCTCCAAGTGGCTTGCCCAGGTAACAGGCAGGTAAAAACCAGCAGGTGTCAGCACTGGGAGATCTGGCTGCCCTGAAAACCAGCTTCGACAGATCCACACCTGTCCTGCACAGCTGGCTGCTGCAGCTCCAAGGCACAACTAACCTGCCCAGACTCTGACCCCAGGCTCACCCTGTGACCTGCCAACAACTACTGCACTGCTGGGGGAGTGTCCTGGCTGGCCACAAACTTACACCAAGAGCTTTCAAGAAATGGGGGTCACTCCCCCCCAGAAATGCTTCACCTTTAGCTGGACCATCTATCCCTGATCTCCCTGAGCCCCAAGGGTCTGTGCAAAACCAGACAAGAGCCCAGAGCGCTCCTCATGTGCCCATACATCCAGAAAGGATTCTGAGTGTAGCCTCAGGCTCATCAAGGAGTGGTCACCCCCGCTGTAACACTCCAGCAGGAGCTGGGCTCCTGTGAGGAGATCCAGGCACAGGCTGTGCTCTGTTCCATCAGGGGACCCATACACTGTGCTACCAATGTGTTCAGGAAATGACCAACTAGCTGGCTCTCCCAATACCTGGCCCAGCTCCAGGTTCCCTCCTGGAAAACCACTGCTTGGGGTCAGCAAAAACTCATGTGTGCATTGCCCAGAAGGCACTTTATGGCTCCTGCTGGCCCCAGAGGAATGAGGTGTTTGTGCCCACCAAGCACAGGGAGGCCCCCTTCACACTTTCTGAGGAGCAAAGAAGCTGGGGCCTCCCAATGGTGTGCTGTTCAATGAGACTCACACTATGACATACATAAACAAAACTGAAAGACAGCAGAGCCTGGCACAACCAAGAGCACTGTCTACATGGGGCTGCAGTGCAGAGAAAACGCTCGAAGGATATTAGGGTGCTCACCCACAGTCACCCCAGGAGCAGGGTTGGGGGATAATGTGTGAGAGCATCAGCACTGCAGGGCTCCACATTTACAAAGAGAATGTGCTTGCATCTCTGAGCAACAGCAGTGATCCACCATGGACATGGACACCATGTCTGCAGAGCACAGGAGGGTAGCGGCCGACCACCTGTCCCCAGAGGGTCTGCTCAGCTGGCCTGTCCATGATGGAGTGCTGTCTTTTTCCATCTTGTTTTCTGAGAGTGCAATGGCTCTTCATGGGTCTGGGGTTAGAGTCAAGCGACAGATGAGAAGAGGAGGCTGACATTTCTTTGGCTGGCCAATGGGGCTGGCTAGGTGAGTCTGGGGCAGGTGGATGGGGGACCTTCTCAACTTACTGCTGCATCATGAGGGTTAGGCCTGGTTTATTTTGAAGATGACTGCCCCCTCTTGCCACAGAGTCAGCTCTCTCTCTCTGTCTCTCTCTCTCTTAAGCAGTGGCCTCAGACTCTTTGGCATCTGGGCACAGTGGGGAGTGTCCATCAGGCAGGGCACGCAGCCTGGAGCTTGGCAAGGAAGGAGGGCAGGCATCCGGCCACAGATTTGAGGTCCATGGACCTTGGACAGTTTTGAGCCCCAAGGCTCCCCAAGACGTCTTAGAGGCCCAGGAATAAATGCTAATCGCCCTTGTATGAGCCCCACAGGGAGCAGCTTTGTCCAGCCTCCTGTGCTGAGGGGGACGGGGACTGGTGGAGGACAGAGCTGCAGGGAACTGTAGCACATGGGAAGGTGGCACTGACTGTACTTCCTGTAGATGGGGTAGGGAGGGACAGCCTCAGGCTGTCCTGTGAGGAAGTGGATGACAGAGGCAACAAAATGGGGAGGACGGGAGCAGTATGAGGTGGATCAAGGCATCCATTTTGGACACTCTCCCAGTGTCTGCTGGATGCCTGAGACTGCTGTGCTGGAGAGGGACCCATCTGATCGCCTGCTCAGCACTGGGATAGGAAGGAAGCCCCAAGGCAGCTGGTGTTGCCCCAAGTGGGTGAGGACCACAGGGCTGGGCAGTATAATGGCTACAGGTGTGAGAGTAGGTGTGACATCCCCAGGTGTAAGATCTGCCCCAGGAGCTTCCCAAACTCACAGGAGATAAATGAACGTAGTAAAAGACAGCAACCAGTAACTCAGACGCCAGCAAGGACAGCGCAGCCTGGTCAGTGTCACAGACATCCCCAAACCATTTAGGAGACATAGGGGAAAGGCAGGCTATATGGCTCCCACCCCACTCCCACCACTGGAGGCCAAACTGAACAACTTAGGGTCCTGGCAATCCTCACTCACAACCGCATGTCCTGACTTGCACTTTCATCCTGCTGGGGAGACATCTGGGCTGTTCCTCAGAATAAGACCACATCCCAGATCACCCCCAGAAAAGGGCATGGAGCTCCAGGGTGTTCCTGGCTGCATGGTGTGGAGCCTTCCCTATGTTCAAGGCTCTGAGATGGTGGTGCGCTTACATGCAGGCTGTGGTGAAGGAAAAGGGACAGAGGTGGGGACACAACAGCCAAGAGGTAGAAGAATCCCAGTGGCCATAATAGGTAACGAACAGGCAATGGGGTCCATCCACACCATGGATCAGTGCCTTGCCCAAGGCAGGAAAGGAAAATCTGACACCTGAGCCAACAGGGATGTACCCAAGGCCATCATGGTGAGAAATGAGTGAGTCACAGAGGGACAAACCCGGGGATACCACTTACATGAGCTCCCCAGAGTCCTCAAATCCACAGAGACAGGAAGAGCTGGGGAGGGGCCGGGGAGAGTCAGTGTTGATGAGGACAGACATCGGTTTGGGAAGATTTCAGAAAGTTCTACAGATGGATGGTGGTGGTGGCTGCACAACACTGAATGTGCTTAATGCGCTGAATGTACATTTAAAAGTGGTTAAAATGTTCTGTTTTTTGCCATAACTAAGATAAATATATTTGAAGAAAAGAAGGAAGGAGGAAAAGGAGGAGAGGAAGGAAAGGAGAAAGAAGAGAAAAGGGAAAGACGGAGAACCAGGCTGTCAGTAAAATCTAACCCCAAGGCAGAAGAAAATTCCCAACGATCTCCAGGTTCAATAGAAGGAGCACTTAGAAGAGCTAAGTGCATTCATCGCCACGGACCCAGGTATACGGAAGACTATATAGCGCCCCGGATCCCAGGAGAGCACAGACGTCATCCCTGTTATCACCATGTGAATCCAGACCAGAACCAGAAGAGACACAGTTGGAATCGTGTTACTGACTCAGACAGACAGATGGCTGTGACCACACAGTGGAGGCAGACACTGATCCAGGCACCACAGAAAAGTGGAGACCACTGTTGCTGAAGGGTCCTCTGGGCTCGAAGCACTTCAAATACATTCAGAAAGCATTTAGAAGCATACTGACGAAGCAAAGGAGAACTGTGTGCTGAGTTCCAGTGAAATAAATTGCAGGACACACTACTCAAAGTTATTGACTCTCCTTAATCTACTGAGCTCCAGGGAAAAAGAAAGAGCGCTTCAGGGAAGCAAGATGAAAGAGGCATCACCTGTGAGGGGCAGCGTGAGCTGCAAGGAACTAAGCACAAGTGGATGATGGTCCCAGGAGGATCAAGTGCTAAGAAAAAGGAAGGTGAGACGAGGACTGTTATACCCAGCCAAGATGTCACCCAAGTTCATAGACACAAGGAGATATCTGAAGTGGGGTAACAAACGAGAATGAGGCACACACACAGATGCCCTTCGTGGGGGGAAAAACAACCTCCCAGGTGAGTCATAGCCAACTCAAAGAAACACCAAAAGCAAGGAATTCCAGGATGGAGAAGGCATGGTGAATGGCTGTGTGGTCAGCAGGATCTCGTGTAAGTGGATTTACAGCAAGTGTTAGATAATTATACAGAATCTGGTTACTGAACAGATTGTAACGATTTTAAGCCTTGGCGGAGTAAAGAGAACAATATAATTAGCAAACATTGGGGGTGTGCAGGGTGCTGTGATCCAAACTAAAGATGCTCTGAGCCAGGATTGTGGACCTAGCACCCTCCCCACTGGAAGGACAGTCTTTGGGGAAGGGCTGATTGATACTCAGGCAGGGAAGATCTGCGGGCACGGATGATTGAGCTTCACCAGAGAGCAAGGGCGTTGCTTCAGCTTGGCACTGGGACTTGTGGAAGGGTCCAGAGGCCAGCTGGAAGGGCCCCCACTGGCCAAGGTGGGGACAACTGAGCGTGGGAGAAGACAATGACTCAAACATGGTTCACTCACGCACGGGCCTCTCTGGCTGCTATAACCAATCACCACAAATGTAGTGACTGAAAACAAAACATGTACATTGTACAGTTCTGAGGTCACAAATTCTGAAATCTGGGTATAAGCAAGGTTGGCTTCTTCCCGAGGCTCAGAGGAGAAAGTTTCTCACATTTTCCAGCTTCCAGTCTCCACCTGCATTCCTCAGCTTGAGGCCCCTGCTTCCCCTCACTTTGACCTCTGCTTCTATTGTCACCTCTCCCCTCTGACTCTGCTCTGACCCTCTTGCCTCCCTGTTATAAGGTCCCCATGATGGCAGTGGGCCACCCAGAGGGTCCAAGGTGATATCTCATCTCAAGGGCCTTAACTTAATCCACTGCAAAGTGCTTCTGCCATGCTTGGTCAGGGACTCACAAGTCTGCAGGATTAGCACATGGACACCACTCTGTGTAACTCCAGAGTCAACACTTGATGCTCTGAAAGAGGAATCTAGAAAAACACCTCTTGCTGCAGTGTGAGGTGGTCACTAAACGTCGTTTCTTTGAGAACTAGCTATTAAAGACAGGGTGGATGGTGTTTCAGGAGTAACTACATTTTGGGGGTGCACACTTTCTCCCTGAGGAAGCCAGAGCACTACTTCCAGAAAAACAAGGCTAAAATTCATGGAGGGAGAAACACCAAGAGCATCTCAGGCCTCTGGGGAATGGCGGGCTCAGATAAGGATGTTTAAAGGAGCTAAGCTAAAATCCCCAGATGCACGGTGGAGAGGGAACAGGTTGTTCTCACAGTGACTGGTCAGCTTGAGGTGAACTGCTTAGTGAGCCCATCCTGTCATCTTTAATGGCCCAGAGGCAATGTGCAGATCACACAATATTCTTTTGCCTAATCAGGCAAGTTTGGTCCAACATGAAGTCAGAGGAACAAGCTGAACCACCATGAAGAGGCCACTCGACACACAGACAGCAGGACATTCTGCAGGGCTGGAGGCTGGAGTTTGCTACACAGCCATATAGCAAACCTCTCCCTGCCCTGAAGCAGGCACTGTTACTTCATGGATCTGTCCTCAGAGGGCAGGTGTGGCTAAGCTTGGGTTTCTGCTTAGGGTCTCATGAGGTTGAAGTTCAAGTGCCAGGAACTCTGGAGAAGAACCCACTTTCCTGGGCCAGAGTATACAGTCAGCACATGTGTAGTACACAGGCCCACGACAGGGGTTTGCTAGGGACTTGGCTCCCATGATTATGGAGGCTGAGTTCCCCTACAGGCATCTGCAGGCTGGAAAACCTGGGTGCCAGCAGCAAGGCTTGACCCAAGTCAGAAGGCCTCAAAATCCATCACCATCTCAGAGTGTGCCTCCTGTTCTGCTTGTGTTAAATCTCCCTGGTTTCTGTTTTAAGGTTTTCATACTTGTTTTGGAGTAAAATATGTATAACATAGAATTTACCATTAGAGACATTTTTTGCCTCCCTTTTTTTCAGTGTTGTGGATAGGCCTCATGCCTCTTAGGCAAGTGCTCTACCATTGAGAGACACCCCTAGCCTTTGCCTCCCTCTTACGAGGACACTTGTGACTGCATTTTGAGACCCACCAGGGTAATCTGTCCATCTCAAAATCCTTCATTGAATCACATCTTCAAAGTCATACAAGGTCACAGACTCAGGTTCCAGGGATTAGGGATGTGGACATCTTCTAAGGATTGTTCAGGGACCTGGGAAGGGTCCTAGGCAGATTCCACAGCAACCTGGGTGGCTTTTGGCTGCAGGCGGATGTTAGGGCATGACCTGCTGAGGAGGGTACCTTGTAGGGCTAGGCACCCTGTGCTATGGGGAGTGAGGTGGGAAGGCAGAGCTGCTTTTTGCATGGATGGGGGTGGGGGTGGGGGTGCTGCATGGCCTGATGCCACATGTCCCTCCAAGGGCATTGCAGTCACAGCCAGGCACAGGAGGGGACATAGGACCAGGTTCTCCTCCCCTCTGTCTGGTCCTGGTCAGTCTCTCTGGAAGAGGCCCCTGCAGAACAATGGGACTCACGAGGAGGAAAGAGTTAAATAGTGAATTAATTAACTAGGTAGCAGGGCTGGGGTGAGGCTTTTGGAGTTGACCAGGGTTTTGGAGGAGAGCTTTACCTGCCTTCCTGGGGTTTGTGAGGTGGGCACATGCAGATAGGAAGAGGAGCCTACTTGGGCTTGGCATGGGGGAGTGGTGAAGGTGGAGCTCGGACTGGAGCACTCAAAGGCTTGGGGTCCCAGAGTGCAGCCCTACCCATGTACTAAGCAACAGAAGCTGGGAGGGGGGAAACTCCTGGGCTCAGATCCTCACCTGGCAGCCTTCCCAGGCCAGTTGGCTTTGCTCTCAGGGGACTCCTGTCCCTGGGTGTCTAGCTCTTCATTGGGGTTGAGGCCTAGGGACAGCTACCCAGGGCCCTGCCAGGCTGGGGTCTACCCTGGACCTACTGGTTGATGGCTGCCCTGCCCAGCACAGAGCTATGGAGATGAGAGTCCTGTGTCTGTCCTCAGTCTGCCCTATAGCACCTCCATCTACCCCTCCCCTCCAAGCCTGGACAACTCCTGACCTCCCGCCCCAACTGCAGGCCTTTCCCCACCCCCTGGAAGGCCCTGGGGGTTTAAGGAATGGGGGTTTTCCTTGGCTGCAGAACAACTTCCTTCCAGGACTATCACGGGGTAAAGGTCAGGAGGATGCAGCCTCCATCCCCAGCAGGGTGGCCCTCACCCGCTGTTCCTATGAGGTGGCCAGTGGGGGAGACTCCTGCTTGATCTGACCTTGTCCAGCACAGGCTGCTCCCTTCTCCTGACTCCCACAGCAAGTTCCAAGGCCTCTCTTCATTCTTTTCTGCTTTCCAGTGTATTTCCAATCAACTTAGAACCCACCCAGGAAGACAGCCCAGCCCAAGGACGGGGCTGCCTCATTAGTAGATGCTATCTCCCAGAACTGGATTTATATCTCAAACCCAGCAAGGGCAAGGACTGCCTGCATGGTGTCTAATGCAGCACGCTCCCACAGCCTCACGCTGGAAATCTCATTAGTGACCCCTGGGTCACCAGCTTCTCGGTGCTGCCCCCCAAGACACTGCACCCTTTGATGGAGGGTATCTCAGTATCCTGGGGCCACCATAACAAAGTACTACCAACCCCAATGCCTTGAAACAACAGGACTGTTCTCTCCTGGTTCTGCAGGTCAGAGGTCCAGAATCGAGAGGCTAGCTGGTTCAGGCCACTCTAGCTCTGCAGCCCTCAGCTACATGGCTTCAGCAAGGTCTGCCTCAGAGAGCTGGTCCCTATGCTGGCAATTGTGTTTGTCCCCTTAGCAGCCCGAGAGGCTGCTGCCCGAAAGAGGGCTTGTAGTCTTGACCTTATGTGTGTGGCTGATTTAATAAAGGCCAGTGTGGGGCCAACACTGGGCCACCTGATCACTGCTGCAGTGTGGGGAGGAGAGAGCTATAATTGGAGGATCTCTTGGGATTAGGCAGCATTTGGTAGAGCCCGTGAGGTCAAAGGATTTGAAACCAAAGCACTACACAGTCCCGAGGGGTTCCCACTAGCTCTCTTGTGGTGTCCTGTCTCTCCTTTGGGGCCTCCTACGGACTGACTTGTGTCCCTCCAAGCTCATATGCCAAAGTGCTGACTCCCAATGGAATAGTCTAGGAAGTGATTAGAATTAGATGAAGTCCTGAGGTGGTTCCCTTGAGGGAAGACACGGGAGAGCAGTCTCTCCCATGTAGTGCAGCCAGCAGGTGGCAGGAGCCCAATCTGCCCAATCTGGACTTGTGCCTCCAGGACTATGAGAATAAGGGTCTGTGGTAGAGCCACCCACCTGTGGCATTCTGTGATGGCACCCGAGCTGACTAAGACAAACTGCAGAGATGGTCCCCTCCTGTTTGTATTCCAAATGGAGGAGCCCAGGATGGTGCAGATGGAACTCTGCAGGACGGAATCATGGGAGCTACACTTCCACACCCAATCACGGTCTCCATGACCTGGCAGATGCCGGCCCCCCTCTCACCGGAGGAACCTGAGTTCTGTTCTATGCCAATTCAGGAGGAATCTGATTTTGAATCTTGCACAGGAGTCCCTGGGGTGTGGGCTTAGGGAGCAAAGTGATGTGTCCAGCTGCATCACCCCAGGGGAGGAGATGAGGAACACAGTCCCTAGAGACACAGGATCTGCCCTCTCAAGGTGTCTTTCAGCATCCCCAGAGTGGACATGGGGGAGCCAGAGCTGCTTCCCCTCACAGAAGCACTAGTATGCTCTGTGCACCTCCTAGGTTCCCAGCAACCGAGGACATGGGTCCCAGGGCACAGCTCAGTGCCCACAGCCCTGTGAGGTAATCGATGGCCCATACTCCACAACTCCACATCAGAGAGGTTACATGGCCTCTGCATCCCCCGCCCTGAGCCAAGGCCCACCCACAAGCCCCTGCTCCCTGCTAAGGCCCCAGGGGATGATGGAGGACAGACACAGCCCCAACGCTGAATCAGCCCTGGACCTGGAGAGTGACTGCAAAAGTCCTGACACACATTTCACTCACTCAGGATGCCTGAGAACACATAGAATAGTCCAGAGCATTTCAGACCCATACATACCCATTCTTCCTGCTCAAACTGGGCCTTGATTCAATCATGCAGGCTAAACGAAGAGGGTATCCAAGAAGGACGGCAGGACAGGGCACACAGGGTTAGCTCTCAGAGTCCATACAGCAAGGCTATCCTCCAACCAGGCAACCCTCAGCCTCACCTGGGCCTTCCCACACCATTTCCCTGGCTGACTGAGTCCCTGAGGCCTGTAGGTTTGTACTGGGCAGGCCTCAGCCTTTGCAGGTGAGAAGGGCCAGCGTCAGGATTTGGATTCTACCTTGCTCCCAGGCTTCCTGGGGTGATCTAGGCAGAGCCACCAGCCTTGCCTTGCCTGTCAGGCCTATGCAGAGCAGAGGAAGGTCCTAGGCAGAGTTTTAAATATAACCCCTGGGGAGGTCACACCACCTGGTATTTTCCTGAGCTCAGCAGTCCTTGGTGGGATAAAAGCCAGGGAGCTGGTGCCATCCACAGGGGCAGAAACAGGGACACTCAGCCTTTTCCCAGGCCAGCTCACCTCAGCTTCCAGTCCTACCCTGGATCCTTGGCATATTGTCACCCTCCGTGGCTGTCCTTTGCTGTGACAGATCCCATCTCAGGTCCCATTGTTCCACTATGCCATGGCACATGTGAGGCTCTGGCCACTGGGAACCTCAGGCTCAGACTGTGGTAGGGACACTCTAGCCCTTCCTGGGGTCCCCAGGACAGGACATGCATTGCAGATCCCGTACCTCTATCCTTCTCTACCTGCCTCAGCCCTCACCCCCTGCAGCTCTGTGACTTGTTCTCCAACCTCCACTACCCCTAAAATCATCACTGTCCACCTGTGCTCTCAGCTGTGTGTCCTCCCCCACATCCTACCCTCACCCCTGTCCTCCCTCCTGCCAGTCCCTTTTCCATGTCAAAGCCCAGACCATGCCTGATAATCTGCACCTACCAGTGGGGAATCTGGGGGCAGGTGGGCTCCCAGCCAGAGCCCAAGGCTGGCGGGATGGTGCAGGTGCAGACTGGCCCACCCCCAGCATCCCCAGAGCACATCCAAAGGATCACCAACAGTGCCCCCCGCCCCCCAGAGCTGTGAAGGCCTTCACACACTCTGGTCCTGGCATCCTTTGGGCACCTGGGGCTGGTTCTGAGGCCCTGATACCAGCTAGCTGTCCTGAGGGAATGTCCAGAGAGCTGAGCACCAGCAGGGCTGCCCAGCAGAGGCAGAGCCTGGGCAAAGCTCTCCTAAGGAAGGGCCCAGGCTCCCCACTCTGGTGCAGGCTGAACTGGGGATGGGGCAGGATGGTGAAGGAGGGGTGGGGACAGAGAGGAGGTGTGGGCATGGCCAGGATGATGGAGGCTCCCAAGAGGCAGACAGGCAAGAGTGGGTGGGAAGGGCACTTAATGGGCATCCAGCTATCTGAGGCATTTGGCAGGCCTCAGAGAACCAAGTTCCTCTCCACACCCAGCTACGTCTAGTGTTGAAACTGTTCGTTATTAACAATCGTGAGTGGCTTTGAGAGCTGGCTGTCCCTCAAGATGCCCCACTATGACTCCTGCTTGGAGGCCTGGCAGGCCTTCATCCCATGAGAGGGTGGGGTGGTTCCTGTGGGGCAGTCTGAGTTACTTTGTTTCTACTAGCCAGGCAGTAAGCTAGGGTGCCAGCAGGGCCAGTGGAGGGGCTCCAGGACCTCTCAAGCCCCACCTGCTCCTTCCTGCATCAGCAGGGCTGCTGGCCCTGCCCCTGACAATGTTGGCCCTGCCTGTCTTCCCACTTCTTACTGGCTGCAAGGAAATATTCAGTGCTATCACCTCCAGAGGAGTGAGTCAAGCTCTATTCTGTTGTCAGAGTGCTGAAGACAGCTGGGATGGGGTCTTCTGGGACTACGTCCCATCTGCAGGCCTGCTCTAACTCCTGGGGGACTCAGACCCCTGAGGAAGCTTCCCTGGGGCAGCACATAGGGCAAATCCTGGGACAAGCTTCTCGTCCGCCTGGAGCCCAGCAGTGGGCAGAGCTCCCCACCACCCTCCTGGCCTGTACTTGGAGGGGGACCCTGACTTCACCTCTATCTGTGGCTCTATAGTCCCCATGATCTGCAGGTCCCCAGGGTACACAGGAGGGGTAGCTTAGACAGGGAGGGGGCTAGGGCCTCCTTACACTGCCCCTTGGGCTTGTGGGGCAGAGGGTGATGAAATGTCTAGGAAGGGCAGGGGCCCCAGAGCCCTGACCCTGCAGGGTCCAGTCAGCTTCCTCCGACTGCTGCTCCCCGGGAGGTCCCAGGACAGGGCCCGACTGACAAGGGTTCACCTAGGACTGCATTAGCCTCCTGAAGGTGATTATTTCTCAACACTTCCCATCACAGGCTGTGTGGAGCATTCAGTCCCCTCAGGAGAGGCCAGCATGGCAGCCCGGCCTCATTTGCCCACGTGGGCGGCTGAGCTCCTGCCTCCCCAAGGCCGTTGAGGCTGTGGTGACTCATGGCAAGCGGCTTTATTCCCCTGGAGAACAGGAAGCCCACGGCCCTGCCGCCTGCTCACAACCTGCCAGGAGTTGGGGTGCTGCTCCCCCACACCTCACAGAACCCACCCTGGGCTACAGCAGGGGAGAGGACAGGGCTAGCTCCATGCTGAGCATTCACTCTGTACCTGCACTGTGCTGAGGGAAGGAGTCTTTCTGCCCCTTGCCTCTGGGGGGGAGGGCGAGAGAGACAACAAGCACAGCTCACTTCCCCAGACACCCCCTTGGCTGAGACCACTGCCCAGGGTCCTGAGAGGTTCTGTGCTGTTCTATTTTAGCACAATGGCCCCATCCCAGCCTCTCACTCTCCTGGAAGCTCTGGAGAGTTCCTAAGAGCACACTGGGCTCACCTGCAGGTGTGACAGGTGGCTTTTCTTGGCTCCTCTGGCTCCCCATGCCCTCTTAGATGCTGAATTCATGCCCCTTCCCCATCCCAGGCAAAGTGTCCTCAGCACCTCCCACCACTGCTGCCCAGGTCATTGCCATACTTATAGAGAGTCCTATAGGCCAGACAGGACTGTATAGACTACATCCTTCACTCTGGGAATCAGTGATGCTACCTAGGGTAAAGGGACAAGTGCCAAGGATGAGAAAGGAGAGCGAGGAGAAGATGGATGAGGCTCCTTGTGCAGGAGTGCTGGCAGGGTCCTCCAGCAGCCCCCAGGGGAGGGGATGGTTTGAGAAAGCCAGGAAGTTCTAAAACACAGGGGCTTCCTCTCACGGTGACGACAATGCTCTGGAGTCATCCCAGCATTGTGAGGGACTCAGTGTCACAAAGGGTAAATTGTATGTTTCACGTGTTTTATCACAACTGAAAAACCACAGACAGGTCTAGGACTCAGAGACAGAGTCAATGGCAACTTCCCATGCCCTGGAATAAGGGACAGTTCTCACCAGGCAGACACATGCCACCCTATGGCTGGTAGTGGAAATGTTTGCCCTCCACTCCTGGACGTCACCAGTGATCAGGAAGCCAGGGCATCATCGGGAAAACACGTTTTCTTCCTGGCCTCAGAAGAATTTCCCAGAAATTAACCAAATCCTGGCTGAGCAGTCACCCAGGGGGTTAATGCCAACATGGCCAGATGTCCAGCACATGGGTTGGGCCTTGGAAAGCCCCAACCCTGCCCTTTATGGGAAGGCGGAAGAGCCCCTAGTCACAAACACTACGGCCAGCCTGTCGGTCTCTCCTTCTGCTTGAGAAGGGAGTTACTAATCTCTTCACCAGGGAATCTGTTCTTAGATGAGTTTGTTATTACCACACTCAGTTCAGTAGACAAAAGATCACTGACTCCTTGGTTCTAAGTGGATAAAGGCTTTGGGATCTGTCTCTCCTCCTGGCTTGACTGGATTAATACAACCGAACACCACGGGAGGTCTGTCAGGACCTTCCATTTCCAGCCGGCAAAGCGATTTTCAAGATCACTCTTCACCCAGCTAGCCTCCGTAAGCAGTCTCCACACACTGACCTATTCACAGGCACGATTTCTTCTCCAGCTGCAGTTGGGCAGTGGGTTGTTCTGAGAGCTCAGCTTGTGCCCTGGCAATCTGCAGCTTCCTGTGCTTTGTGCTAAGTTGAATAAGTGCATCGCTGGAGGAAAGTGCAGCCCAGGCCAAGACGGGGTGTGTGTGTGTGTGTGTGATCAAGCCTTTCAGAGAATGACAGACGGCCCCCACACACACACTGAAGGAGAGGCTCTGATCCCAGACCCTCGAAGCTCCAGTCTGCCGAGTCTTCCACTTGCAGGCATGCAAGCCTTTTGCCTCCCTGGAGGCTGACAGAGCCAGAACACTGGGTGTTTACCCAAGACAGCTATTTGGAGAAAAGGCAGAGAAAAGCAACATTTCTTTCCAGCTTCCTGTCAGCCCCTCAGCCCATGAGTTATTCCCACGGTCTCATCTGCGTCCTTTACAGAAAGACAGGGTGCAGTTTGCTTTCTTGCACCAGAGTGTTTGCAGCAAGGGAACGCTGTCACTCTAAGTAGGTGACCACGCATGGGTTTGAAGGACGCTGTCCCTCAGTGAATAATTAATAAACGATCACAGCCTAAGTCTGGAGGACACCGGCCCTCAGCCAGACTGCCAAGCTCCGCCACCCGGCTCTTCTGGCCTTGGCATAGCCCCCAAATCAGCAGAGCCTTGGGGTTTGTGGCTGGGAGAAGCACGCTCCGGACCCCAGGGACCCCCAAGCCGGCCTCCAGGACGACTCCCCAGCACCGAGCATCCCGCGCCCTCCTCCAACCCCCCTTCAGGAGAGATGCTCCCCCTGCCCCAGCCCACCCGAAACTTCTCCTCCTTCCGGGAAAGTTGAAGGGCGCGGAGGCTGCGGGGACGCGCGGGGCTCAGCACCGCGGACAGCTCCGCGCGGCCCGCGGCCGGACCCCGGCCGGGCCTGACCTACCTGTCGTCGTTCTGGAAGGACTGGTCGCCCAGAAGCAGGTCCCGGAACCGGTACCGCGGCGGCAAGGGCAGCACCTCCGTGTCCAGGTCGTTCATCGTGAGGCTGGCGGTGTCCAGGAGCACGTCCCCGCGGCCGCCGTCCCCCGCGCTGGGCCGCCTGCGGGCACGCGCCCGCGCCCCTCAGCCGCCCGCGCCCTCGCCGGACGCGCGCAGCCCCCCGCCCCGCCGGAGCCGCGCAGCTCGGCCTCCGCGACCCCCGGGGGGCGGGGCGGAGGGGCGGGGCCTGGCGGCGCGGGGCGGGGCCTAGCGGCGCGGGGCGGGGCTCCTGCTCAAGCGGACCCTGGGCGTTTTGTAGGTGGGAGCCGTCATGGCAAACTCCGGGATAGGCGTCCACACCGTCCCTGGGGCGGTCAAGAGACCCTTGATTGTAGTTCCCTAGGGCCAGGCAGCTCAGGTCAGATCAGATCCTGAGGTGTGTATGTAGGTGGAGTCCAGGCCCTCTGGGCTCCTAGCTACCCTGCCATGTCGCCAGGACTCTAGGCTCACAGAGACTCCTGCCCTGATTACCAGAGTCACAGACGCCCAGCAGCGGCAGAGCAGGTCTGTGGGTGCAGCCCAGTTACACCTGAGGCTCCTGGTGGTCTCCAGTCCTTTGGGGCCAAGAATTCATCTGCCAGCCTCTGACCTTTCCTGTCTCCATCTCCACATCGGCTCCATATCAGCTACCGTAATCACATGCAGCACCCAGAGCAGGGACCATAGGAGCTGCCCCAGGCTCCCCGTTCTCACCCTCCTGGGACAGCAGCCCCTGGCCACCTGCACCAAGCCTGCTCTACCCATGCCAGCCACCTGTGGAGCCCTGCCCTGGCAGCACTGGACACAGCAGCACCATTTACATCCACCAAGTGAGCAGACTCTCACTCCACCCTGGACTTGGGAATTGGCACAGGTGGGAAGCTGTGGCCTCAGCCCTGGGCTCCAACCCCAACCAGTGTTGGGGCTCACCATCCTCTGCCATTGGCTGCGCTTCCAGGGGAATCTCACCCCCAGGCCATCCTGTCCTGGGTGCTGTCCTTCCAACAGCTCACAGGAGGTGGAGGAGGCAGGAATCCCCTCAGCCATCAGCTTCACCTGTTTGATGGAGCAACACCCCCACCAGGCTCCTCCAACAGCAAGGAGCCCCAGAAGGGCAGCCTGTGACTCTTTACCTGGGTGGACTTAGGACAAGCCTGTTGGGCCTAAGCTGCTTTGAAGAAGGACAGAGGGACACCTCTCTCAAAGTTTTCCACCCTTTCCAGACCTGTCCCTGTGAATCATAGGCCGTGCAACCGGCAGGAGGGCAGAGGAAGACAGGGAGGGTGGTTCGACTCAGGCAGGTGCAGAAGTGTGCTGATCAGACTCCACACTGTGTGGTGCTGGGAGTCTAGGCCGGGAAGCCCCTCATCTGGGCACCAACCAGGTGGGCACATTCCTTGAGCCTCACCAAGTGCTCTCCCCAAGCACTCACCCTGAGAGAAACAGCAGGCCGAGGTTGGCACCTCATCCTCAGCAACTGTCCCACACCATGGCTGCCAGCAGAAGGCACCAGCCCAATACCTCCCCTGTTTCTCAGGTCACAGGTCCAACCTCAGGGATCTGGCAGCATTTGAAAAATAACATTTTCCTAATTGCATCAGTGCGGCTATTGTTTTTCCTTAGTCACAAGTTGGCTGGCTCATGGGGAGGTGTCGGCAGGTGGGGAACCACGTGGCCCGGGGTTGGGATCTATCTTCTTAGTTTTGCCCCTTTCTTACGGAAAATCCCTGTAGATGGCAAAACCCTGAGAAACCACTGAGTCCCCAGGCACTGCTGCCCCCATCTTTTGGACATGCAGGATTTTCTTTCCTGAAGGTCCACCCTTGGTTCAGCACATGGGGCCTCCATGTGCCTCAGGGGGAAACAGGGAAAGGAAGGGTGCCAGGAGCTCAGAGACCTGTCCCTTCCCCCACCCCAGATGTGACTTGAGATGAGTGACAAGGGCAAGCTGCCCTTGCTCTCTCGACCTGCTGTGATATCTGAGTGAGCACACACTGTGAATGGCCTCCCACAGACCTCCTGGCATCCCGCCTTGTTCCCTCAGCACAGCCCCAACCCCCAAACCCATGAACTTGCCTGTTTGTTATGCAGGACAGGGGCCAGGGGTCCCAGGGCCTCTTGGAAAGGTGCCAGTTGTAGGAGGGACGTGACTAAGCTGCTGCTCCCTGGGTGGTGGGGCTTGGTGGAGAGTGCTGAGCTTGCCAAGGCAGGTGGCAGGTCAGGGAGAGCTTTGGGGCATGCAGGGGGTGGGGAAGGAGAGGGGGTGTCCCAAGGTGGACCAGGTGGGGCAAAAGCATGGCTCTGATCCAGTTGCCAGGACCCAGGGGCCCACGCCTACTACTCCTCTTCCCACTCTTTCCTATGTGATCCAAGTGAACCCCAGGACAAAGCCTGAAACCCATGAGATCACACCTGTTATCTTCCTGACATCCGTGAAAGAACTGACAATTTCCACAAGAATTCAGTGCTTCTGTGGTTTAAGGACGGCGCCTCCAGAACAAGTGTGGAGAGTTCAACCTGTGGAATTTGCCACAAAGCCAAGGCAGTGCCAACAGGACAGAGTATCCTCCTCAGGCAAGCCTAGGGCAGCCCAGGGGCTGGCATAGAGATCCCCTTGCTCTTCTCAGGGACTGTCCAGGACTGGTGGCAGCTGAGGGTCCTGATGGCTCAAGCATGGTTCAGTTCTAGGCCATCAGTCCAGGTTGGGTGGCCCCAGGCAAGTCACTTCGCCTCTCTGAGCCTCAGTTTCCCCATCTGGAAAAGAATATACTGATGCCTTCTATCCTTATGTGGTGATTATTGAGCAGTAAGAAGATGAAAGGCATGAGGTATGGGGTGCAAGTTGCAGTGCCCAGAACACAGGCGCCTGATCTACGACGGTTCTTAGGTTGGGGCTGAGCTCTGGTGTGCAAATGCCACGACTCAGTGTCAGGCCCCAAGAGAGCCCTCTGCAGGTCAGCTGGAGGCCCCTCTGGGAAGCTTGGCCTTGGAGCACAGGCCTACAGGGTCCAGAGAGGCCATGTTGAGGAGGTGGTCCACAGCTTGGCACACAGGACAGATAAGCCACCCTGCAGTTTTGGGCACATGGAATCACATGCCCTGACCTTCCAACCCCCTATGCAGCTGTGCACAGTGCCAGACACTTTGAAGAGCCATATGGTGGCACAGAATCCTACAAACACAGGATTGTCACCGGCCCTAATGCTAGCTGAGGACTCTTGGGCTCAGAGAGCTTCAGGAGCTTCTCAGAGGCCCCTACTGGGAACAAGTTCAGCCAATTCTCTGCATTGTCCTTGGGCAGCTGAGTGGATCTCTGCTGAGGGCCAGCACAGCCTCTTCTCTGTGCCCACCCCCCTTCCCGTTATTGACCACGGGGTCAACAAGGTGGTCAGAAATATGCTTCTCTGCCAAAGACACCAGGAGTTCAGTCCCCATCTAATGAGGAATCAAGTGAAAAATGATAAGAACAGATACAGGCCTCTGTCAATGAAGTAGTCAGGCCCTGAGTGCTAACCACGGACCAAGAGAAAGGGCCACAGGGAGACCAGAGAAAAAATCCTCCCAATGGCAGCTGCAGAGCACTGAACCAGGGTTCCTCTGTCTCTTGCCTGTGGAGCGCACAACTTCCCCGCAGATGGGCTTAATAGAAAGCAACGGTCAGGTCCCTGTGGGCTCAGAAGCCCATTCTGCAACAACTGAGCTAATCAACTCCAGTCAAGAGCATGTTGGGTTGGGGGATCAAGTGAGAAGAGAGGGGAGTGGAGAGAGGGAGAGGGAGAAGGGGAGGGGGAGTGGGGAAGAGAGAGAGAAAAAGAAGGAAGAGGAGGAGGAGGAGGAGGAGGAGGAGAAAAGGAAGAGCACAGCATTGTTCTTTTCAGAATCTAACAAACTGTTTCAAAAATTCATACTGAAGAATAAATGGGCAGGAATAGCCACAAGGGCTTCGAAAAAGAACACAGAGAAGGGACCTGTCTTGCCAGCTGTCAGCACAGATTTACAGCCACAGTGACCCTCCAGGCTGGAACAAGAAAAGACAAACCGCACCAAAGAGCTCTTGACCGAGCTCCATCTACATTGGGATTTGGGCCTGAGAAGGGAGCAAGGATGGGAATAGTCAGCCTACCAGGCCAGGCCCCAGGTGGGTCTCACAGCAGGTGGGACCTGCTTCTCAGGACGGGCAGATGAATCCAGGCAAATGTGTTCTCCCAGACAGGACTCCTTTTAAGAACCCGATGGCTGCTAGTGCTCAGAGTGGCCAACCCAACAACTCAGGTGTGACCACCTTCCACCGAGGGGAGCAATTCCTCTGCTAAGCTTCACCTTTCCTCTATTCACACTCAGGTCACAAGTGTCAAGGAGCTTGCAGAGACATGTTCGGCAGAGAGGTCAGGATGTGCCGTGTCCAAGCATGGCATTGTACATGAATGCTCACACAGGTGCATGCATGTGCCCAGATATGCGTAGGAACTGCGCATGTGTGCTTATGCAGTGTGCACGGGTGTTGGTAAGCTGTGCACAGATGTGTGCATGCGTGTGCACGTGTATGCACACAGAGATGTGTACTTTTGTGTGCGTGCACCCGCATGTGTATACATGCATGGACATGCGTGTGCACATACAAGTGTACATGCACTTGCATGGACATGTGTATGCTTGTGTGTGCGTACACCTGTGTGCTCTTGGGCATCCCCCACCCGGCATCTAGAACCATCCCACAGGCAGCACCACAGCATCACTGTGGTGGGGACAGTTGAGCACCTGGGCTTGGTGTCTGATGAGTGGGAAGTGGCAGAAACTTTCTGCTGACCACAACAGAGAGACTAACTGCTTCCTATGCAGAACAGTTAAGAGGTAGATCCGTTCGAGCTGCCCAGCTCGATAACACTGGGCGACGCCCTCTCTTCCTAAAGAATGGACCTGTACATCGACATCACAGGTGGCTGCTCACTGCTGCCTCCTGAGACGTGCACACCGAGTTCCAAAGTGAAGCTCAGAGCTCACAGATGAGGTGCACTTGCACTGGAGAGTCAATCTGGACTGACATTTCAGGTCAGCTGTCT